AGGCACTCTGAAAAAGAATAGGATTTATTATATCCAGGTATAAAGGAGTGTAGAAAATATAATTTCATATGGATTTATTTATCTAGGTGTGGTCCATGTGGGCATTCATTCATTATTGTTTGTTTGCACTGAATTGAACTAAACACTGTAATAATCTGAGTATCAAAGTTACTGATGTTGATACTCTAACAGGCACCCCCACTGTCGTTCCTCAATGGCAGCTGTCGTACAGGTTTTAGAGGTTTCCCTGCTTCAGCACAGCTGATTATGATGATTGCATTTTAGCAAAAGCCTGTTAATCAGCTTCCAATTAAAATCAGCTGTGATGGAGCAAGGAAACCTCTAAAACCTGTTGGACAGCGGCCCTAGAGGACCAACTTTGGGAATGCCTGCTCTAAAGGAACCAACATTGGAAGATATATTTTTTTATTTCAAATTTAATAATTTGGTAATTACTGCCAGTTTTTGCTGTTTCTAAAAGTCCTTTATAGGAATTTATCATGTTCACAATAAATCAGCTTTTTCTTATAAATTATGCAATAAATATCCATCCATCACTTTTTTTCACGAGTTGCTGTAGATGTTGATAGCTGTAGGTAGGATGGATCTTCTGTCTTGCATCTGTCAATTTGTTATGTCCTTTATCAATACCCCTATTTGTTTGTCTATTATACAGACATTTTTCTGTCCTTCATTTTCCCATATATATACATTATATACATTATATATATATATATATATATATATATATATATATATATATATATATATATATATATATATATATATATATATATATATATGGGAAAATGTATAGGAAAATAGCACAGTAGCAACATTGTTAAATATTTCTTGCTATAGACGGAAGAACTCTGATGAGGCGTATTAGGCTTGAACGTTTGAAAGACAATCTGTCCCTTTTTTAACAATAAATCAGAAATCAGTTATATTCATTTAACCTCTTCTGTTGTTGTTTTTTTTTTTGTCCCGTATTGGAAAGGTGTAAGATCTAACTTGGAAGTCTCTGTTTTTGTTTTGTTTTTTAACATGCTAACAGATTTATTGCACATCTACTCCCAGTAAGAACCGTCTTAAAAGATGTAACGAGATCATTTCTTAGTAGATTATTTGATTAAATCAATTGCAATAACCAACAGGGGAAATTTGTTAATGAATGCTTTTTTTCACGTCTTCTCTGAAGTCTAAAGCCCTTTTAGTCATGCTTTGAATGTCACATGGCATGCAGTATAGGTGGGTATCTGCTGATAAAATGGATGGAATGGCTGAACATCAAAGGTTTGAAGGTTCATGCATATCTGGACAGTTGCGTGGTGTTTCTCAGAACTCCATGCCTACACTGGATGGATGTTTTTAGCCACTAAAATGCTAAAGTTCCACAACAGGGGGGACAACATTATAATTAAGCGAACAAATGTGGGTGAAGTCCAAGCAATACTGTAACCAGTAGCATTTAAATATTGCACCGTCTTGGTCAAAACTAGAATTTTAAATAAATTTCTGTTGTTTTTTTTTTGTTTGTTTTTTTTATATTCACATTTAAATTTCAAGTGACAAAGGTGTGGCACTAATCTCTGTTCTCTGAGAATGTTATAAGTAGAGTGAGTGTGGAGGAGGCCTGACAGGGAAAAATAAGAGTTGTTCACTGGAGTTGACAGTAATCCATCTTAACCACGACAAAATGTCAGTGTTGGTAAAGGTGCTGGCGTGCCTCCAGTTTTATCCCCTTGGTGTTTCATGTCTGTTTTCACTCTTCAGTATATAGGATGTCAAGATTTTATTTACTTTGTGCTTTAGTTGTTTTCTATTTATGTGTCTGTGTTTTATATTCATCTTTTTTTGTATATTCCCTCAACATGTTGGAGCCAAAATAGCCTGTCATGTTAAAATTTGGACTTAAGTCCTCTGGTTAATTAACGTTCACAGTCACTTTCTGAGTAAACAAGCCAGCCCAGGCCTGGTTTCATCTGTTCTGTGCACAGTGCGCATCCACTATAATGAGACAAGACTTCCAATATTCTTTGGCAAAACCTCTGACAGATGAACATATTTATACTGAGTTCATCCTTTTTATCAGACATGGCTGAGGGGTTGGTCCACCTCTGTTCCTGCTGTTTGACACTTATTCTGCCTGGCAGTGCTCAGTGCTTCACAGAATCATTCTTCTACTAAATATACATCAGATGCTCAAGATGAAATCAGTCGCTGTCATTCGAATCTACTCTCAGACAGTAGCATGTTGATGCCTGCTGGAACTTTATCTCCTCTGCTGCTAGGAGGTTCACTTATCATGTTAGGAGGGCATTTGATTTTTCTCCTGTTTTTTTTTTTTTTTTTAACATAACCAGCTTTCTGACCTTCTTAATAATCCTCCTAATTCAGGGGTTGACTCAACTTTGTGTAAAGTTGGGAAAGAAAGAAGCCCTGTGAGATCCATGTGGTTTAATTTTTCCCCCCATTAACTGCCACCAGCTATGTAAAAAACACAGGGAATGATGATTAGGGCCCATCCAAGCAATAAACCTATATATATTGTGAGGGACACCTAATCAATACAATATATGCCCAATAAAATTTGCAACAGTTGTGCGGACCTCCAACCACATCTGCATGGCATTCTGGGGGATATAGGCCAAACAAAGTGAGGTTGGTAGTAAAGATGACCTATTTTTAAAGATGTAAGATTATATTTAAATTTGATTAGAGTTGAAATTAGAGCGTCAGATTTTTTTTACCCTGGTCTTTATTTCTAGTAGTTAACAAAAACATCCAACAATAATTGTCGCTATTGACTGATATGAAATGTTTATAGACCGTGATAGATTTTTCAGCCATATCGCGCTGTCCTTAATGTAGATTAAGATGTTCTGGTCACATGTGACCAATTTCCACATGGTAAATGGAACAAGTGGATCAGAGAAGCTGATCAGATATGATGAAAAGCTGGATATATTTATTGCATAAACCAGAAAATGGAATCAGTCTCTAGAAGAGGATCTAATTATTGCAGTTGTTACAGTTAACAATGGTTCCAAAAGTACTGACTTATGGCAGGCTGTTATAAAAGGACCCACGATTTACAGACTTCTGAATAAAAAAAGTCTAAATGTACAAGTGCTATTAGGGATTAACAGTTTATCGGTACTAACATCATTTTTAAACATATTACTGTTGGACTGATTAGTTAAAACTGTTCCTATTAGCAACCTATGTTTATGTCAAACTAGTTTCCGTTTATATGTCAGGAATAGAGGAAGGGCTGGAATTGTGACGGCGATAACGATTTGTGCGATTGGGGGTGTGTAACAGAAGCAGGGGAGCAATTTTAGCGTTGCGGTTTGCTTTTACACAACGACCAAAGAGTATGGAAAATAGATGATATATTAAATGGTAAATGTCAGCTTTTTGGGTGTTTTTTTTTATATCAGGGCATCCCTTATAGGTACATTGTAAGATGAAAATGTGGTCTGTGGCATAGTTGGAACGCTTTGATGTGGAGTTTATTTTGAAATTCCTGCTAACGCTGCTGGCTTTCTTGACCCTTATCCACCCCTACCTCCTTCCCCCCTGTGTTATTATGCATTGTGTGACGGGATAAGTGGACTCTGATTGATCAGCATTGATTTGAACTGTATTTGCCAGACACTAATGATGGGCCCCCTTAGGACATGATGTTTGCTTATTCCCACCCCTCCCCCTTTGCTTGCATTGACTGATGCCCTCCTCTCTGCTACTCTTAGGCCCATTAACTTCTAATCAGTCCACGTTGCCTTCCTTATTTCCATCTCCTGATAGGCTGCTTGAGTCTAGCCTGCAACCCGCAATCGATTAATCCATCGATTATTTTTGTGATTAACCGACTAATAATTAGATAGCAAAAGGTTCCTTAAAGAAGATTTTTTACAGAATTTTACAGCTGATGTAGTTCGCTATGATCACTCCTCTGAAAAAGTTTATCAACGCCTCAATTAACTTAAAATGTGAAAACCTGTGAAAAATATTTGAAGGCAGGATTGTAATCTTGATGAACTGACTGCACAGAAAATGTTTTGAGGTGGACTTTCTCACTTAAAAATATAATAAGACTGCTTTTTACCCACCTATCACAGCAAATTTAGTTAAGCATCTCTCTGCCATTGAACACAGAAGTAACAGAAGCATCAGACGCATCTGGTCAGAGTTTATTGGATGCGCCAAATATGCTGTTGACGCATATCTGACCTTAATGTGTCCAAGCTACAAAAATGGAGCAGCAGGCTCTTTTTTGCTGAACAAAGCGCATGCGGTGGGATCATACCATTAGTGGGTTGCTCTGTCAGCTAAAGCAATGTTTTCAATTCTCTATACTCCAATTAATGAATAATCAATTACTACATTAATTCATGATTATTTCAATATTCAATTAATCACAGTTAATCCGATTAATTGATTCAGCCCTACTTGAGTCGGATAAAGGAACAGTTGGAAAGCAAAACTGAAGAGACTGAGTTTACTGTGTGTATTGTCATCTTTGTGGCATTTTTTAAAGATTAAAAGACAGAATTAATCTTCACCTACATAAAAAGGAGTTTATATCTATGTTTGAGTGAAAGATAATGGCTGTGTCAATGGAGACTTGTTTACACTGCAGATGTAGCACAGATAGACAGCCTCAGGCAAATCTGTTCAGAATCCTCACAAACAATAGCTGGATCCATGTAGATGACATTTGAACATGAAACTGATTACAGCAGCTTTGTGGTAACAAGTCTGCACACCCATAATCTATATGACCCCACGCTATAAACGGAAATAAAAAGATCTCTAAAGCACTTCATATAGCACACTTTTTATGTTGACTCATCCCATTTAAAATTTGCCTGCACTTAATTTTATTATGTTTACCAAAAACAGCCCTGGACTTCCCTATCTGCTGCTGTCAATACAAGGAGAAGTTGACTTTAGTTTTATGGAACTTTTGTTTTACATTTTTATCTCAACAGACTAAAGTACGGATCTTCATCTGCTCGCTCAGTCACTCCGGGCTTTACCTCACTGGCTTTATCTGCACAGCTGAAGGCAGGAAAGGTAAGATTGTTCCTCCTGCTAAACATTATAGATATTAGAGCTCATAAAAGGTTAGAAGTAATATCCAACTTTAATTATTCAAGTTTTGTGCCTGTGTCAGCTTTAACATTTGAGGCCCTTTCTTCTTCATTTTCTTATAGTAGTTTTCACTTCCAGATTTTTTGTGATTTTGACTCTAAATATGATTAAAGTTACAATGTGTAGTTTTCAGTGACATCAAATGGTCAGAATGCAGCTTCAACCTCCCTGACCCTGCACTACCTCTTTCCTCCAACAATAGTCATGATCTAAAATGGCCTCCGCGACGTCCACTTTACTTATCTTGTTAGGTGATGACAAAGTTTATTTACATTCGATCACAGCATCAAATTCATAAATTCTTCAATACATTGACAAGTATAAAAATTGTTGGGTGTGCTTCGGTGGCGCAGTGGTTGGCATACACTACCCATGCATGGAGGTCTTAGTCCGTGACGCGATGACCCGGGTTCGACTCCGACCTGTGGTCCTTTGCTGCATGTCTCTCCCCCTCTCTCATACCCCCTTTCCTGTCAGCCTTCTGTCCATAAAAATTAGCTACTAGTGCAGTTAAAAACTCAAAAAATTTGTCGATTAGAAAGAGAAAGTATTATGTATTGACCATTGATTTAATGAAGGAGGCCACAGAGATTAGCTTTTTAAAAAGATAATGGAAGACAGAAAATAATGGTTGAAGCAGAGATTGCTGTTTAGAGGTTTGTGGGTGGCTTTTAAAAAAGCTATTTTAATTTGGTTTCGGGTCCTGCCTCCAGCACAGACCAGCTGCTGCCTTCTCTTATCCTACTCTGCCGCTCATTCTGGCTGCAGGCTCCGCTGATTCTCAGTGGTCCTCTGTCCATCTCCAGCAGTTAGCCTCTTGATGCTAGATGCTAGCCTTGGCCTGCCGACGTCTCTTCATGCTCTGTTGCCCTAGCGGGCTCCTATGACGTCACGCCATCCTCCCCACATTAAGCCGCAGCCACTCCACATCCTAGGTGGACTAATCCTATCCTCCGCTGTTCTGCTTCGATCTTTCACAGTTAGCCTCTTGTTAGCCTGGGGCAGCTGTAGCCTCTTCTGGGCCTTCAGTACTCTGTTTCCCGGCAGGCCTCTCTGAGGTACCACTGTGCTCCTCACCCCTTCTCCTGCAGCGAAATCCTGCCACGTCTACCACTGTTGTTCCTTAGCTACAAAAGGCGGCATTGCTGGCTGGCTTGTTCTGGTTATGGAGCTCTCTAATCTGCTGTTCTCACACTGATTCCCTGCTGCTCCTGCCTGAATTTAGAAACCTCACCTCTGTTGTCCAGTTGATTCGTCCGCATATTTTGGGGACACCCAAAAATGCAACAATCTGCGATTGAAATCGGTCGTCTTCATATCGATATTCTTAAATCTAATTGTAAGAATATGCCGATAGCGCCTTTTCTGATCCAAAACATTTTAATTTCAAACATTTAATGTTGATTTTTCTACTTATGTTTAAGAAGCTCCCAGCACTGCTCAGTCATACTGCTGTGTGTTGTTCACCTTTGATTCAGTGTTTGTTAAGGAGATTATTAAAGTTTTCAAAAAGTTTTTCTGTCAACTGTGTCGTAGGCTAAATATGTGAAAATATGACCAATCACAACACAGGACAATGCTGTTTAAACCAGGGATGGATCTGTGGCCTCTGACAAAAACATAAAATCCTAGAGTCAGGTACAGAGATTGAGCCACACATCCTAGCTGTGTTATTTAGGCTGCATCTTAACTGAGTTTTAATCTCAATTTTAGATATTACCAATGATCAAGTTGATTCATTTGTCAGTTTGCAGTCTGTTAATGCAGTTGGCGTCAGAAATACTGGATGAGCGCAAAATTGTACTATTTTGTTGTATTTTTTCCACTGTAGCTTTCTCTTACATGTTTGTAGTGTTTTCGGTGTCGGAAAGAAATATTTAGTAAATAATTTATGCATTTGCTTTTCATTTTTTTTAACCTTACATCCAAATAGAACAGTAAATGAGAACTGTTGAGCAACAGTCAATGATTCTCCTTCAAAGTTCAAAATCATTAGAGTTCTTACCATGAAGTTCGACATTTTGTTCAAGCTAAATTAATCTTTCTACTTTATTCTTTCCTTCCCCTCGTGAGCTGTCCTGGTGTCATGGGACAACAGCCTGACAAACAGACGAATGAAAGTGACACAAAAATATTCAGCAGGATTTGACCGAACAATGTAGACGGAAATGAGCAAAGACATTGACGGCAAGGATGGGAAAAGTTGAGGAAAGCAGGGCGACAGTGAGAGTAGTGCAGCTTGGTAGCTCTCCGGTCTGAGAGACAGAGATGTCGCCTCCAGATAACCCAAACAGCCTTACAGGCCCAATATAGAGCAGAGCCAGAGGCTTCAGCAGAGCACTTCCTTCCAGCATGCTCTCCACATATTACTGTTGTGTTTAGCCTTTCCTCTTAGACTTTTCTAACTACTGTGGAATTTCTTTCTCAGCATTAAAAACGAGCAAATTATCATATTTAACCAGCAGGATAACACAAGGACACTTATGTTATTAGTACCTCATCATTTTTAAACTGTTCTTCTTAGTGAAGGTTCTCCTGTAGCTTCTTTTTCTTTTACACCCAAAGCTGTAAATTGTCATTTAGTATGCATGACAGCAGCACATCAACAACTATATTAGCATAATAAATCAATTACAGAGGAAGTAAATCAAGTTAGTCCTTTGGTCACCTCAGGGAAAAGCAGACAGATGGCCTCAGTTGTTGTGTGAGCTCTAGGTAACAAGGAAACATTCAAGCCATAAAATGTGTGATCAGTTCCACTAAAAACAGCTCTGACCTTTTAGCACCTCATTGAGAAAGCTGTGGTATCTCACAGCATCGTGGACAGTTACTTGTGATAAGAGTGATGTTGATTCAGATTTCTTAGTTGTTGAAGGAAACTCTTAAATATATTTTCTGTAAATGCACTCTAGACAGAAATTAAAATATGATAATGTCTTTTTTGTTCTCGTTATAAATGTGCTGTTCAGAAAAGTGGTAGTTGATATACAGTACCAAAAAAACTATATCCTTCCATAGTGTTTTTTGTTTGTTTGTTTGTTTTGTATTAGTCCAATTTACATTTATGTTGGCTTTGGTCTCCACTTTGTCAAGTTGCCTTTATGAAATGTGACCTGATATGACCCCTGATCAAATTTGATCAAACAGAAACAGCAAGCTAACAACACCACACTACAGGAGGAAGTAGAAAACAGAGCCATTTACAATTTTATCAAAGCGACTTCATGTCATTCGAGAGCAACAGTCATTTCTTTCCTGAAGTTTCTCCACAGTCTTGATAGTGGTGATCTTTATGAGCTAAATCACTGGATGTCTATAGATGATGCTTCAGTGTACGGAGCCGCAATCTTCAACAGGGATTTCTCATAGAGACTGACGGGCAGTGTCCTGCAGCTGTTAAACTGTATTAAATGTGCTCATTTTAAAACAAATTTAATGCAGTTTAATGGCTGCATTTAGAAATTTAAAGAAGGCATGTTTTTTCAAATTTTTTTTTTTCTAAATTTACAAGAGAGGTTTGTTCTCCTTAGTATTCATTGAGAAATTGCCACTGGTGTATGCATGATCTGTATTGTTTAAACTTAATTTAAAAAAGACATTCATTGGGAAACTTGTTTTACCGATTTGTTTGATGTTGATTAGAAAAAATGCATAACAATTCTTTTTTTTCCTTAATCTGGTTATCTTATTTTTACTCATTCTGATTGTATTGAAGTACCGTAATACTTGAAAAACAGGAGCTGAGATAAAGGATTCCTTGTGTGGTTTTTATTAAGATTTTGTGCAGGGATATTTAAACTGAAACTACTGGTGACCACCCAACAGGAATTCTGGAAACTTCTTTCATATTTTTACAGGTTTAGACCATAAGCTGCTGATTTCTAATTTGTGATGTGATGCTTTTAATTAAAATAAAGTTGCTGAATAAGGACCAATGATGTGAATGCTGGACACGCTGCCCTCTGACAAATGCTGCATTGGGTTGTGTGTCACATTCTGCTCGCTTCCATCTGCCAGTCACATATGCCACCATATGCTCTTCAAACCTGCGCTTAATCTTCATCACTCTCTTAAATTTTTATGCTTTACTTAGCCAGATTCTGTAGCTGTTGCTGATACGTTCTATTTAGCTTGGTTTGATTATTTTACGCCATATTAAATCTTTTGTTGAATGCCAGAACCCTTCCATTCTTAATAAAAACATCCCTGTATTATGTGAATGTTGGTTGTTGTGGTTGATAGATACATCCTCATCACTGATATGTTCACCTTTATTCAGTTTTTGCTCATCTGAGGCCTTCTCGTTGCTGTGACTGAGCAGTAGCAGCAGCACCTCCTCCACAGTGATTACGTTCATTTCTTTGCGAGCTGCCCCTCTCTACTTGCTCTGTCATTACTACCATCTCTCCAGCGTAATTAGCAGCCTGGGTGCACGTCTGTGGTGCATGCGCCAAGTCTGTCTCATGTTAGGCAAGTCAGAGCCAGGGTGCAGAAAAGGAAAGTGTTGTGTGTTGTAAGGCCGTTGCAGGGATGCCAAAAATTGACACTAACTAATCACTGTATGAGAGTAATTCAAATGCATGAAATTTCTGCTCTTTATGCTCTGAACTCTGTCTGCATAATTCTCACAGTAACAGAGGAAGATTTTTTTCATTTCTTTATTCAATTAATATTTTCTGAGATTAATTGTTGCATAATAACACAAAGTAAAATGTATTTAAATGATGTTCCAGGCTGCGGCTCAGAGTTGGGCTCAGTGTTAACATACCGGTAGGTGTGATTCTGACCGATAAATGAGGCTGTGCTCTCTCATTGCCTCTTTCATGAACCACATAATGAAGCCATTCTCCAACCTCTGCAGCTGGGGCGGATAATCTGGGATCGGGTCTCATAGTGGATCACAGGACGGCCTTTTGAATGAGGACAGACTCTGTCAGAAAGCCTGATCAGGGCAGGAGCCTTTGGCTTAGAAATGCTTTGCCTTTTTTATGAACAAAGATGTGACGCATCAGTGTGGCTACTTGCTCAACGTGAGATTCTGTTAGCTGTAAATTAGATGATTGATGCTATGATGTGTTTAGTATAGTGAATTATTAATCCAACCTAAAAATAGATTCAGCCAGGGCCCAGGTATGTTGTATATTGTGAAACAAAACCCCCTTGTAAAAAAAACAGAGAGAACATATAGCATTAGAGATTGAACTAACAGAATCTGCAGAGTGGGAGAACAGAGATAGAATGATGAAAAGTCTATGTCCTCCAGAAGTCTAAGCCTAAAGTTGAATAACTATAGAGATCGGTCAGGATAACCTGAGCCCCTCTAACTAGAAGTTTTATTAAAAAGCACAATTTTAAACCTAGCCTTAAAAGTAGACAGGGTGTCTGCCTCACAGACTAAAACTGGTAGTTGGTTCCACAGGAGAGGAGCCTGATAACTAAAAGATCTGCCTCCCATTCTACTTTTAGAAATTCTAGGAACCACTAGTAAACCTGCAGATTGAAAGCCAAGTGCTCTGTTAGGAACATAAGGAACAATTATATCTCTGATATAAGATAGAGCTTGGCCATTTAAGGCTTTATATGTGAGAAGGAGGATTTTAAATTCTATTCTGGATTTAACAGGAAGCCAATGAAGAGAAGCCAGGATATGAGAGATGTGATCTCTCTTTTTAATTTTAATCAGAACTCTGGCTGCAGCATTTTGGATCAGCTGAAGACTTTTAACTACAGATTGTGGACTTCCTGATAGTAAAGAATTACAATAGTCCAGCCTTGAAGTAACAATTGCATGGACTAGTTTCTTAGCATCATCCCTGGACAGGATATTTCTAATTTTTGCAATATTGCGCAGATGAAAGAAAGAAAATTCTAAAAATCTCTTTAATTTAAAGACAGGTCCTGATCCAAAAATAACAACAACGTTTTCTACTTTATTATCTGAAATCAGTTGAATCCCATCCAAATGAAGTGACTGACTAATCAGCTTATTTTTCAGACTCTGGTCCAAAGACTATAACTTCTGTTTTGTCTGGATTCAGGAGCAGACAGTTAAGAGTCATCCAGGTTTTTATGTCTTCAAAACATGTCTGTAATTTATGTAATGGGTTAGCTTCATCTGGATTAATAGACAGTTATAGCTGAGTATCATCAGTAGGGCTGGGTAAAAAAATCGATTTGATCGATTTTGAATCGATTCCTTTACATTTTTGCAAAATCGATGTCTAGGGAATGAGATTGATTAGTTTTATAGTGACGTGCGTGACATTCACATTCAAATGAGCAGGAAAGATGCACTCAAAATACTTCAAGTCAGACAGCTGCAAATATAGCTATTAGGTTGATTGAAGACATTAACAAATGGAGGCTGACCAGCAAACACCCTGTAGTTGTTACAGACAGGCTGCAAATATGGTTTGTGTAGTGGAGATAATGCAGCTCATGCATGTCTGCTGTGTCCTCGCTGTGTCACGTCTGCTTGCTCGATTGAGCCTTCACTTTTTCACTTTTCACAAACAAGTTTGCACTTTTTAGACAGTTTTTTCACATCTCAAGTTTGCACTTTGTGTTTAATATGACAGGAAAAAATAAAATACATGAGTGTTTTGAAACACAGTTGAACCACTTTCATTATTGTAAAAAGAGATTGAATCGAAATTAATCGATTTAGAACTGTATGAATCAAAATCAAATCGGTTCAGGACTTTGGTGAAAATGCCCAACCCTAATCATCAGCATAACAGTAAAAATGAATCCCATGCTGTCTAATAATTCTACCGATTGGGAGCCGATATAGTAAAGAGAATTGGCCCTAGCACTGATCTCTGTGGTACTCCACAGGTAATCCTTGAGCATGAGAAATATTTGTCATTAATGTTAACAAACTAAAATTGATCAGATAAATATGATTTAAACCAGTCTAGTGCTGTTCCTTTAATTCCTACAAAATATTCAAGTCTTTCTAAAATAATAATATGATCAACTGTATCAAGTGCAGCGCTGAGATCCAACAGGACGAGCACAGATATAAGTCAATTATTATGGTGACCAGAGCTGTTTCGGTGCTATGATGAGATCTAAAGCCAGACTGAAACTCTTCAAAAAGTTCATTATGGTGTAGGTGGTCACACTTCTTTGACAACCACTTTCTGAAGAAAGTGAGAAAAGATACGAAAAGAAGAGTGGATATAGGTCTATAATTGACCAAGTCATCTGGGTCAACAGACAGTTTCTTTACAGCTACCTTAAAAGCCTTTGGTACATATTCCTGTAACAGGGATAGATTAATCACATCTAAAATGGAGGACGAGATCAAAGGTAATACTTCCTTAAATAACCTGGTTATTAACACTATAACAGGGGTAACACTTTTGGGTAACAAAAGTGCTGCACATTTTCTTAGTATCTCTTAGAAAATGTATTTGATTTTGTTATATTTTTTGAAACTCTTTTCAAGTGTCTCATCTTTTCGAAATATTTAATAACGATGAACTTTGATTTAATTACTAGATTTACAAATTCTAGATATAGCAAAATGTAGATTGAAGTATGTTTATTTGATCATTTGAATCTCAAATGTTAAACCTGCTTCAAAATAGCAGTTTTGGGTTGGGAGAAAAGAAACCTGTTAATTAGTGACAAAATATACCTCTAAGAACTCTGGGATTTACACATAAGTAATGTTATTTTATTGTGAACACAACATCAGATGGATTTTATTGTGAGTGCTAGAAAGTAGCAGTGTCTGCTGATGGTGTTCTTGTGCATATTAACCCAACTCACTGAGTGACCTCTGCAGCTTGAGGAGAGACTTATGAAGATAAGAGCTTTAATCTGAAAATGGAGTTCAGTACAGATGGATGAATTAAGCATATTTTATGTTTTCACATCTATCTGAATCCCTCATTTCAAATAACCAAACCTCACAGATGCTTATGAGCATCATTTCCATATTGTATTCTTTAATTTAAAATGCTGCCGTTTGTTTTTGTGAGGTCTCAGTTGGTACAGTCTGAAAAAAATAACTCAGATCTCAAATACAAGTAACAGTGCAGAAGAAAGGAAACAAAAGGCCTCCCACAGGGCTATCTTAAGCTTTTTAAATATATACCAAACATTGTTTTTCCTTTGATAACAGCAATTATCTGTTTTTCTTTGAGGTGCTGGTTATGGATCATTTCTTCTAACAATAACTCATAAAAGCACAAAGAAAATTGCCCTGCTTACTCCTTGAAAGAACACTTTGATTTACACAGAAAATGAAGGAATTAAAAGGTTTTTTATTTTTACATATTAAAGAATATATTCCTAAAATTAATCACATTTTTATTAATTAAGAAACCGAGAGAAGTTTATGATTTGATGTATTTTAATCAACTACAAAGAATTTTCTGTACTTCTAAGTACTGGACCTGCTGAGAACCTATTAGAGCTAATCAAGGAAAATTTGGCAAATTCTAATCTCTGATAGGCTGGATCGGTGCATCTCAACAAATATTTTTAATTCCAGTAATCATATTAATTTCACAAGGACTGTCATTTAAGCTTCAGAAAATACAGCTCAAACTGTGGCATAAAAACCCATAAAACCCAGTTGATGGATGACGTCATACACACTCTGCTTTGTTTAAAAAAAATATATAAATTGAGGAGAGACTTATGAATATAAGAGCTTTAATCTGAAAATAGAGTTCAGTACAGATAGATGAATTAAGCATAGTATATGTTTAAATATAAAAAAATATAACCGTGGATGTCTGGGGGACAGTGATTCGCCTACGTTATGAATGCTGGCGTACCGTAAAGAATCATTTATGAACAGTTTTTTTTTTTTGCCTTTAACTTGTTGCCCCTAGGAACACTAGGAAGACGTTACTTGGGTATTACAAAATGGAATATCTTTAGAACAGCTCCAAATGACACAAAACTAATATGGGTGAGTGAACATGATGTAATAATGTAAAATCAAGGGGCCAATGTAAAAAGAACGGTGTTCCCCTTTAAGAGGTTAACTCTAAACAATGCAAACCAAAAGGTTTGGCTTTTTACCTTTTGTCTTTAATGATTACATTTAATAATGAAAAACATTATTTTCCAAACTTATTGTTAAATCGTTAATCCAAATATCATCAATAACATTATTATTGGTTGGCATCTGAAGCATTGCTAGAGACATAACATGCCTGTGAACGAGCTGTTGTCCTTGAAAATCCATCGGGTTAAGATTTGATGCTGTGAGACGGTCGTATCAAGGCACATCCATGTGGTTCACTGAGCAATGCGCTGTGTTCCTTCTTGACTTTTTCCCGTCGCTCTATTTCTGGCTTCACCCGACCTCACCCCTCTGGCTCATGCCTCGTCAGTGCTGCCCTTTTCTGTCTTCTGGTATTAATTCTTCCTTGTTACATTCACAAATATGTAACTGTCTATCATTGCTCTATAGAGGAGCAGGGTTTCACTTCTTTTATTTTATGAACAAGCATCAAATCTTGTGTCAAAATTTTCCTCTTTTTTTGTTTGCTGTCCTTTGTTTAGGTCCCTCAATGTTCCAGGATTTAAGTGTTTTAGCGGTTTAACTCTTTAGCAATGTGGTGCTGTTGCGAGTGTCACTTCATGAAGGCACAAACACAGGATTGAGTGATAATTATTTCATGTCAACCTCTTGAAGATTAGTCTCAGTGGGAGAGATTCTCCATTATATTCTTCCTCCTTATTTTATCTCGGGTTTATCAGTCTTATAGCATTTTACAGCTGAGTAAGTCGCCCTCCCAAATCCAAAGCTCAGCCTCCATTTGGCTCTGTGGATAATATTTAGGTTATGCAAGCTCTTTTATTTAAACTTTTGACAATTATTCCATATAATTATTCTTCATTTGTTGGATTAATTCCTCTGTATATGTTTTTCTTTTTTTGCAGAAAACTGAATAAACCAAAAGCGAGGATCTATACTGATCCCATTATGCACCACTGAAAATCTCCCCGTGGAAAGCAATGTTTCTGGGGACAAGAGGCCCCAACACCATTAGCAGAGTGTGTGTGGGGCCCCTCTCTAGCACCCCTCCTGAGATGGGATGCCAGAAGCCAGCCCACCGGCCCTGAGCTCTCCCAGGGCGTCATGAACACCTACAGAGACAGAGGGGTAACCTGCAACTCTTCAGACCTTCTAGATGGAGGCGGAGGGTTACCCCAGAACACTCTACTTCGTCACACCCCTAATGGCCACCCAGTACTCTGCCCCACCGAACCGACGATCCAACCTCGCATCTCTGTTCCCAAAATGGGTGTTCGTGCACGAATTGCGGAATGGCCTCCTCGTTGGGCGCAGTCTCGGGAGTCGCTACTTGAAAACGGGCAGAATGGCATCCACCACTACGATGACTGCTCCATCACATCCTCGGTGCTGTCATCCGATGCTCGGCTGGTGCGAGGAGGGGTCGCCAGGCTGCCCCGCAGGTGGTCGAAGGAGGTGGAGTTCAGAGGCGGAGGCTTCATCGGTGAAAGAGTTTCACCTCTCAGTCTGAGAGTCTTCCCACCACTGAGACAGCGCTCCAACAGCGAAGTGACACTTAGCGAACAGGATGAAAATGAGGTAAGCCTCAAAACTTTCTCTTAGTTTTTTTTTTCCTTTTTTTTTTTTCATACAGGGCAGTGCTTCTCAGTCGAGTTGAGAAGAATAGGATGTGTTGTTTCCTAGTGGCTATAGTCCAGTTTTTCAACACAAACCTCTTGTTAATGAGGTCCACAGATGGAAATCAGTTTGGGTTGGCCTGCAAACTGCCATGCTTTGCCATGCAAGCTGTATTTACAGCATTTATGGGCTTAGAAATAGTTTTCTCACAAGGAGACATGAAAATATTAACTTATCTCTAATGAGTTTAGTTTGCTTTTTTTCTGTCTGTTTTATAGAGAAATATTCACAATTGTGCTCATGTAGAAGCAGTTGCTGCCATATGCGCTTCTGTGATATTAAATACTTTTTAGATAGGTTTAAATTATTAAAAACACTCATTGTTTAGGAGGTCTATTTCACTTTTAGGTGGATACTAAAAGCATTTTTATTTATCCCCTCCCCATCCTTTGAATTTATTTCAGACAGTATAATATACAAGTATTTCAATAGTCTTTTTCACTCAGAAAGTAAATGGAATTACACATAGGGTGACATTTTATAAGAAATTTCTCCTATGATGGGTTGTTAACATATGATAAACAGCTAAAACCCCAAATTCAGTGCTTCAGAAAATTGATATGATGATGATGCTATGCATATAAATAAAAGTATAATTATTTCTATGCACGCAAAACTAGTTTTGGCCTCCTTTTGCATGGATCACTGCATTAATGCGGTGTTGAAAGGAGGCGAGTAGCCTGTGGCTCAGAGATTGACCTTCTCCTCGAGATTTTTAAGAATGCTGCTGGTACCAATTATCTTAATATTAGTCTAACCGACCCCTGGTAAGTTCTGCTGGTAGTTCTGTGCCAATTCTTGAAGCCAGCATTGTTTTTTTCTTCCTCCATTTACATGATAAAAACGGCTCAAAAACAAATGTTACACTAGTCTGTATTTAAACAAGAAAAATAAATTATTCATCAAACAAAACAATATATAGATAATGCAGGGGAGCCCAGTGCATGCACTTCATATGATCTCAAGACAATAGTGCTATATGCACTAAAGAATTGACCAAAAATATCAACTGCAAATTGTATTTGTATGTATTTACTGTGGTTTTGCCTAGCTTTAATGGGATACAAAGTTGTTTTAATCATAGCCCTCAGGTCATCAGCATTGTTGGGATTTGTGTCTTTCATCTTCCTTTTGACAACACCTTTATTGGGTTCAGGTCAGTGCCAAACCCTGCTGGAAAATGGAATCAGTAGCTCCATAAATCTTTGTTGTAAAAGTAAGCACAAAGATGGCTATGTTGACTCTACGCTTTAGAAACACAGTGGACCAATGGCAGTAGATGAAATGGAACATATCAACTGTTGAAACTTCAATCTAGATGTCAAACAGTGTAAATTCTGATCCTTTCTACTATTCATTTTGAACCTTGTTCTCCAAATAAAATCTAAACATTTCTTTCAAATGAAAAGAGGAATTTGCACCATTTAGCAACATTCCTGGGGTTGTGTATTACCAAAACAGGGCCTGAAACTTAGGTATGCCCACTTCCAACCAAATGTGATCTATGAATGATAAAGTGGGGTCCTTCATGCCAACTCTCACATATCCATACTGGATTTTGGAGATAAGGGAAACTGATGACTTAGGTGGTGACTGAGGTGAGAAACTGAAACCCGACTGCATCATAATTTCTCTCAGGCATTTAATTACATGAAACCTTATTCGTAGATCGACTTTAAGCCTCATAACCCTTAAATTCAAAACCAAAGTCTGCACATATTAAAATGTTTCACAGATTACAGACAGGGTGAGTCATACCACAGATCAATGATTGCTGTAACAAGGTATGGGGAATTCACACTGATTGCTGTAAACATTGAAATACTCTTGAAACACCCGTGTGTAATGGTGTGTGATGGCTGCCTAAACTTCTCTAAATACTTTGTAAATGGGAGAATTAGGAGGGAACACCATGATAAATCATGATGTTTGATTTATGACCATATTAAACTCGCTAGAGCATAGCGCTGTGTTCTAAACGGGGTCAGTATTGGAGAGACCAACCTGGCAGACCCAGGCCCTCCCTGCTCATTACAGCTGTTAAAAAGATGGAGACTAGTGTACTACATCTTGTTTACTACCTTTTCGGGGTGTTTGGCAGATGAACACTTTAAGTGTGGATCCTACACAGTGAGACCCCCCGTTTTTCTCCTTAGCCCAGGTAGGGTTCGATGGTGCATAGCAGCTCATGTTGCACTAATTTCAGCTTTACTTCTCTCCTTATGCAGTTGTCCCGATTTTTGGACAGATTTTCTCTTGACAATTCTTTCAGAGTTTAAGTCATCCCTGTTCCTGGTGATCATTTTCCCACTGCACTTCATCTTACCATTTAACTTGATGTGGGTTTTTAACTTTGCTTTTTAGTATATGTAAGTTGCAATCAAAGTTACAAGAAATAAAAGCATAGATATATTTCACGTTCTGGTTAATTGGTTTAATCTGGGAATTGAGTGACATAAAGCTTATAAGTTTTTAATAGCACAGTGAACCCTCGCTATAACGCGGTTCACTTTTCACGATCTCTCGCTGCTTCACGGATTTGCATCATGCATTGTTAAACTTTATTGTCAAACATAATCGATGGTGGCATGTCGGTTTATAAGGATCTTTTGGCCCAGAAGAAAAAAAGAGCGACAACAACTACCGATAACTATGTTCTTCTCTCCAAAAAACGCACCTGCACCGCAGGCTTTAGAAGAAAAAAACACCACAGAACCGAGTCAGGATGCTCTGTCAGAACAGCAGTGAAATACTGTACTGTACTGTACACGAGTCACTATTTGTCCTACTGTACTTTATATTTTTTTTCATTATCATTTTTCATTTTCTCCCGTTCCATTTTGTCACTTTGGGGCATTACTGATCCCCGCAATATTAACCCTTCAGTTCGAATTGATGATTAAAATTATTACTTATTTATTTAAAATTATATTATTGTACAGTACAGTAGTTATTTGTAAAAAAAAAACAACAACAAAAAAACAACCAACAACAACAAACGTTTATACAGTACTTTTATTTGTTAAACCAATGCTTGACCCTGTAAAAAGTTTTTGTTGAGTATTTCATTGTATAATAACTGTAAAAAAAAAAAAATATAGGTTTCTACTTCACAGATTTCGACTATCACGGGTTGTTTTTGGAACGTTACCTCTGCGATAAACGAGGGTTCCCTGTATTCTAATTTACTTCTCTTAATGTACTTAATATTCTGTGTGTTTTAGTTTGTGCTAAAAAAAATTGGGTATAATGAAACATTTCTTCCAAAATGAACAGAACTTGCACCAGGTGCCTGCACAGCCTCTTAGTAGTTTCTATATTGAAACCCTGTGAGAGTATACTCCATAAGCCGCCATTCTGTTCAAGACAAAAATGACTTCTCTGCTCCCAGAGGAGGACATGTTTTATCACTAAATGTATATCAGTCCCAGAACAAAAGAAGATGCTTTTTACAATGACTTAAAAAATATTAATATAATCTCATTTGGCCTATTTATAGGATTGTCTTATATAGTATAAGATAGTGAGTCTAAAAGATGATGATATGTCTTGGTATACAGCGTGTTTAATCATCAGGTTTAAATTATTAGTGTAAACGGACAAGTCAATAGTGGCTAACACCATTCTATGTGCCTAAAACGAAAGTTACTACCGTAACTACGGTTCTATGAATCCCGGATGACCGCCAGAGGCGGTGCTTCAAGCACTGAATGATCATTCATGCGCATGCGCAGGTCGAGTATTAATGACAACAAAGTCAGCTGTGACCTGCCGGGGACCCACGTGACTCTATATAGTCACGTGGCACCCGGCAATCAATCCCTCAATCTTCTCGTGAAAGCAGAGATTCCGAGGGACCAAGCACTCTGGCGGTCATCCGGGATTCATAGAACCGTAGTTACGGTAGTAACTTTCGTTCTATTTCATCCCTACTGACCGCCAGAGGCGGTGCTTCAAGCACTGGATGACTCATATCAACAAGGTCACGAGGAATCAGCAACATTCAAGGAACAACGACTACACCACCCACCTAATGTGATGTAGAGGCATGCTGCTCGAGGATTCCCTGAAGCGGATGGGGCGCAGCCACATTCACCCTGTAGAACCGAGTAAAGGTACTAGGTGATTTCCAGGAGGCCGCACGGCATATAACATCCAATGGCACCCCAGTCATAGCAGCAAACGATGTCGACATGCCCCTTGTAGAGTGGCATTTCACTCCCGCCGGCAGTGGCCGGTCCTGCAAGGCATAAGCCTTGGAGATCAAATCCACAACCCAGTGTGCAAGTCGCTGCTTAGAAAGTGCCTGACCCTTCCGTGAGCCAGCGTAGCAAACAAAAAGGCTATTTGTCTTTCGGAAGGATGCCGTGGCATTGATGTATGTCTCAAGGGCACGAACAGGACACAGTGGTTCAGAGGGACTTCCGGAGTCAAACCGGGCAAGATGGAGAGGCTGGGTGCTGCCTGCTGGCAGTGATACCTTAGGAATAAACGCTACGTCAGCCCACAGTGTAACGCCTGAGCCATCAGGATTCCACCGGCAGCAGGGTTCGGCTATCGAGAGAGCCTGTAACTCCCCTACACGTTTTGCGGAAACCATAGCTAAAAGGAACGCAGTCTTCAGTGAGAGCCATTTGAGGTCCGCCGACGCCAGGGGCTCAAATGGGAGGGACCGAAGAGCCTCAAGCACAAGAGAAAGGTCCCACGCCGGTGCCACAGGGCGGTTGGGTGGGTGCAAACGCCGAGCACCTCTTAAAAACAGTACAACATCCTTGTCTCGGCCCACAGAACAACCATTCAGCCCAACATGCCAACAGGAAATGGCAGCCACATACACCTTTAAGGTAGATGGAGACCGTCCTTGGTCCAGCAATGCCTGCAGGAAGGTCAGTATGTCAGAAACTGAACACTGAACCGGGTCCTGCCCTCTATCACGGCACCAGGTGGCAAAGACCGTCCACTTGTTAGCATAGAAAGCTCGCGTGGACGGCGCCCATGCATTAGCCATTGTATGCCCTATGGACCCAGTGTATCTCGAGAAGGTGGACCCCGGCCTTGCAGGGGCCAAATCCAGAGCTGGAGCCGGTCCGGTTCGGGGTGCAAGATCTGACCCCCCATCTGGGAAAGAAGATCTCTCCTGGAGGGGAGACGCATTGGCGAGCCGGAGCTGAGCTCGCACAGTAGAGGAAACCAAGTCCTCGCTGGCCAGTAGGGGGCCACCAGCAGGACCCTGTGCCCCTCCTGACGTACCCTGAGGAGAGTCTGAAAAAGTAGGCTGAATGGCGGAAAGGCATAAAGGAGGGTCCGGGGCCAGTCGTGTGCCAGAGCATCGTGGCCCAGAGGGCTGCTGTTGTCCAACGAGAACCAAAGGGGACAATGAAATGCGTCCCTTGAGGCAAAGAGGTCCACGTCCGCCCTGCCAAAGACCTTCCAGATGCACTCCACCACCTCTTGGTGAAGCTTCCACTCCCCTGGAAGCGGCTTCTGACGGGATAGAAAATCTGCTGGCACGTTCTCCGGCCCTGGGATGTAGGCTGCTCTGAGGCTGGCTATGCGTGGAGCTGCCCAGGTCAGAAGCCGTCGAGTCAAGCACAACAGTTTCCTTGACCTCGTTCCCCCCTGGTGGTTGATGTGAAAGACCACTGTGGTGTTGTCTGACCTCACCAGCACGTGCTTCCCCCGCAAGCCCGGAAGAAAGCTCTGAAGAGCCAGAAGTACAGCCTGTAACTCCAGGACATAGATGTGTTCCCTGCCCTGCCGCTGGGACCATGTCCCCTGTGCCATTTGACCCCGCCAGGTTGCACCCCAGCCCGTGGAGGATGCATCTGTAAACACAACTTCCCGACGACACGGGAGGGAACCGAGCGGGACCCCTGTGGTCATAAACAACCTCACCCTCCATTGGGACAGAGACTGAAGACACTGAGGCCCCACCCGAAGTCTTCGGAGACGATGAGTGTTCCGTGTGGGATCCAGATTCAAGCTGTTCAACCACATCTGGAGGGGCCGCAATGACAGCAGCCCTAAGGGCACTACGGCGGACGCAGCTGTAAGCATGCCCAAGAGTCGAAGATACCGCACAAGAGGCAGCGCCATGCCGCGCCTGAATTCCGGGAGCACGCTCAATATACCGTCCACCCGCTGGGGTGACGGGCAAGCAGTCATTGAGATGGAATCCATGGCAATGCCCAGGAAGACAGTCTCCTGTGAGGGAGTCAGACTGCTTTTCTCCATGTTCACTTGCAAGCCCAAGCATCCCACATGATGGAGCACTAACCGAGTATCTCGAACCGCCTGGTCCCACGTCGCAGCACAAATGAGCCAGTCGTCCAGATATGGGAGGATCCTCAATCCCTGTGCCTGCAGAGGAGAGAGAGCCGCTGCAACACATCGGGTGAACACCCTGGGGGACAGTGAAAGTCCGAACGGGAGGACCCTGAACTGGAAATGTCTCCCTTGAAAAGCAAAACGAAGAAACCGCCGATGGGGCGGAGCGATCGGAACGTGAAAATAAGCATCCCTGAGATCTATGGAAGTGAACCAATCGCCCGGGGAAATCGCCTGCAGCACTTCCCTGGTGGTCAGCATATGAAAGGGCATGGCCTTCAAGTACACATTCAGGCCCCTGAGGTCCAAGACTGGACGCAGGCCCCCGGTCTTCTTCGGAACCAGAAAATACGTGGAATAAAAGCCCCCTGGATCCAGCAGGGGGTCCACAGGCACTATAGCACCCTTGGCCAGCAAGGTGCAGATTTCTTGGTTCAGTGCCTGTGCCTTCACTGGGTCGTGGATCACAGTCATCCTGACCCGGCCAGGGATAGGTGGCCGGCGGCGGAATTGAAGACGGTACCCCCGGGACAGGGTGGACAACACCCACAAGTCCGGGGTGTGGGCAGCCCAGAAGCTGAGCTGTTCCGGGGAAAAATAACCGACCGCCGGCCCTAAGGCATCATCTGCGGGTCCCCCGGCCCTTCGAAGGCCCGGGAGGGCGCCGGCCAGACTGCGCGGCCCGAAAGGGATGAAAGGACCTTGTTCCAGCCTGGTCTCGAGCTCTGTTCCTCCGATCTAGAGCAGGTCTCTGGACCGATCTCTGACCTGGTAACAGACCCTGGGGCTCAGTGGGAGAAGGAGAAGGCACTAAGGACCTCCGTGAAGGACCCGCAGCTGCCCAGGTGCTTACTGGCTGGCGATCACGTCTGTGAAGCCCTGCCAGCTGTTGCCTCGTTCTAGAGGCCTGAGCCGTACGGTCCAAGGCGTCCAGTGCCGCAGAACCAAAAAGCTCCCCCGGGACCACAGGCAGGGCCCGGAGGGTCCTCCTACAAGGCTCAGTTAGTGGTGACTGCGCCAACCAGACCTGGCGGCGAGCATGAACCAGTGTGGAGAGTGTGCGTCCAAGTTCCCTCGTCATAAGAGCAAAGGCCTGCAGAGATGCATCAACCAGGCCTTGCGTGGCATGATCCAGCGGAACAGATTCCAAGGAGGAAGACAGGGCCAGCATAAGATGGGAGAGAGAGTTCCCAATCCGGCCCATGCGGGCCCCAGAGTCATAGGCCTTGCCGAGAAGGTCGTCGGTAATACGGCACTGAGGACGCGGACAACGGGCATTGGGCCGCAAGGCCTCATCAGGCGGGATTATAAGAGAGGCAATGCCCGGTTCCACCGCTGGCATCTGCCCCAAGCCAACCTTGGGTGCCTCCTGCATAGCTGCCAGGACCCTGCCATCCGTCGTCAGACGTGAAAACGCCTTGGTGTCTGACCAGCAAGCATGCAGTTCCCGCACATACTCCGCCGAGGGAGGAACCACAAAGGCAGTCTCTGACCTACTGCGCCTAAAGAAGGCGCTGGAGGCCGCAGGCTGGGCCTGAGGAACACTAATTTGTAAACGGGCAAGAGCCGTTCGAATAGCGGATGTCACAGACTCCCCCGTATCCTCCTGAGAGGCAATGGAGTCCGACCCAGAGGCCCCGGAGCCCAGCTCCGGAAGGTCCTCACAGAAATGGGTGCCAGAGGCCGCCACGGAAACAGCATCGTCGTCATTGACTGACGTTTCATCCTGCTCGGTAGGGAGAGCCGTGCCACGATCACCAGCAGTCTGAAAGGACTGGAGGAGGGCTTTCATTTGGGCCAGCTCAGCAGTGAGATGATCCACTTTCGTGGACAACCTCCCTGCATCGGTCCGTCTAGCACGCTTTGTCGGTACCGAAGGTGCAGCCCCAGTAGAACGTTTGCACACCGCTTTCTCCATCGGCAAACGAGCACGTGGCGAAGCGCCCGCCCAGTCGGTAGGCTGCTCCAGTGCAGCCAACCGATCCAGTCTGACCGACCGGGGCATGACGCGACAGTTGGGGCAAGCGTCATCTGACAGCGCCTCCCGGAGATGTTCCACACCGAGGCAGGAGGGACACAAGTCATGCCCGTCATCGGGCTGAAGTGGAGCCAGACAGGTCGAGCAACATAAACTATCCAGCATCATACTGCTGAAAGGCGTGATCAGCCCGCTACCAAGGACAAGTCAACACGAGCAGGAAACGCTACTGGCGACTCGATTATTGACTAAGGATGAACTCAGCACGAGCAGAGACGCCACTGGTGAGTTTAGGCAAACAAACCAAAGAAGAACCCAACGCGAGCGGAAACGCTACTGGTGGGCTCAGGCAAATAAACTGAAAACAACTCAGCGCGAGCAGAAACGCCACTGGTGAGTGTAGATAAACAAACTATAGAAGAACCCAACGCGAGCAGAAACGCTACTGGTGGGCTTAAACAAACTGAAAACAACTCAGCGCGAGCAGAAACGCCACTGGTGAGTGTAGATAAACAAACTATAGAAGAACCCAACGCGAGCAGAAACGCTACTGGTGGGCTTAGGCAAACAAACTGAAAACAACTCAGCGCGAGCAGAAACGCCACTGGTGAGTGTAGATAAACAAACTATAGAAGAACCCAACGCGAGCAGAAACGCTACTGGTGGGCTTAGGCAAACAAACTGAAAACAACTCAGCGCGAGCAGAAACGCTACCGTGAGTCAAAAGAGCCACAAAATTAACGTGGCAAATCAAAGCGAACAGTAAACCACTGCTGAGAAAAGAACGAAAACTTACCAGTCACCGCAGATCTGGTAAGGTGAAAGCAGCTTGTGCAGCCCCTGGAGGGCGAGACTTACCCGCAGCTCCGACCAAACCCGGTCACGGGGCTACCAGCAACAAGCAGCCAGGAAACTAGTGGTATACACAGAAGCAAGCAGCTTCACACGACCACACTCCTGTACTCAACACACCTGCGCGCGAGAAGAACAAAAGGGATTGATTGCCGGGTGCCACGTGACTATATAGAGTCACGTGGGTCCCCGGCAGGTCACAGCTGACTTTGTTGTCATTAATACTCGACCTGCGCATGCGCATGAATGATCATTCAGTGCTTGAAGCACCGCCTCTGGCGGTCAGTAGGGATGAAATAGAACTCTATTTACACAAAAACCTTTGTTGTACAAAAAGCAACTCTTACTGACCTTTTTATAATCCAGTTCTCCTTGTTCTTCCCCAAGGTGGAGACTCGAGGAGGCGGTGTGTTTGGAAACCGGTTCAGAGAGTATGGCAGCACCTCTTCCATCGATATTCAGGGCATTCCTGAGCAAGGGTTCTTTGAAATGCTCAGTCAGTTCCATCAGGAGAGGCCAGACCAGCGCAGTTTAGCTCCTGCACAGCTTGGACAGCTGCTACGGGCTGAAGACCCGTCATCAAAAGCCCATTTCCCTGCTGCCCCCTCACCTGGCCCCACAGGTGGGGAGGAAACAGGAACAGGGAAGAAGGAAGGTACTGAGAGAGTAAGAAAGAAAAGTGGAGGGACAGAATCATCGCTGGGAACTTCATCTTTGTTCCGGAAGCTTCGGAGCTCTAGTAGAGGGGAGCTGGATGGAGGAAAGGGAGAGGCCAATGAGGAAAGGGGAGGGAGAGGCTCAACGGATGCCTCCTACAAACCCTGGGTTTGTCCTAAGAGCTTTGTTCACTTTGATGCTCAGAGCATCCTGTTTGACCTCCATGAGGCAGCAGCTCAGCGTGGCTTTTCTACACAGAGGAGAAACACTGCCACAGGGGCATCTGCCGCTTCATCGCTGCCCGGCTCACGGTCATCAGCTCCTAGCCTAAACGACCCCATTTACTCCAGTATCGAGGATCTGACCCTTGGCGTCAGTCAGAGCTCTGCAGCCCCTTCCCTAGCCATGGATCCTCTGGATGGGCCAGCTGCTCACAGTTCAAGCCCACTGCTCCTCTCCTGTCCCCACTTCCTCAATGAGATAGGAGGGCACAAGGAGAGGAACGTGAGCTTCCTTAGCTCCTCGGCAGAGCGAGGTGATGGAGACGAGGGAAGAGGGTGGTTGAAGAAGAGTAATGCCAGCATGTCTGTGCTGGAAATCCCAAGTGAAGAACAGGCAATGAGGCTGGAGAGACTGAAACTGTACGGCATAGAGCATGTAGACTTGGGGGCTCGCTACTACAGAGACTACTTCCATGGGAAAGGTAATGCTGAGTTACACTCCAGCACATTTCACTCAAACATGGAACATTCATTTTGAGGCAACATGAGTAACTAGGTGTGTACTCGGTAGCCCGATTATGCTTGATCCCCATTATTTTAATATGTTGTCTATCCCACAGTGATAAATTATCCCATATTATACACCTAATATAAAATATCCCACAGATAATTTAAAATCATGTCCAAAATGAATTAAAATGGTACCAATCTGAAATCACCACTCTGTTCTCAGCAAACGGAGCCACCATAGCTTTAGCTTTAGAGCGGGAATTATATTGCTTCCAGCTCTCTCTTTAGTATCTTTGTCTGGTATTAGAATGCACAGCAGTGTCTCTATCCAGCTAACTGAATATATCATTGGTATGCAAAGTTTACATTCATAATGACTCCAAATAAAACTGCATTTTGGACAGAATATTATTCGAGTTGTAAAGGGAAGGCTGATATCCAGCAGTTGTTGGGTGGAAGGTAGACTAAACACTCAACAGCTCTACAGTCTATTACTGTCAATTACTGGACAACACAGAGGACATGGGACAGTAAACCATGCATAGAGAGTTGCACTTTAACCCAACAGAGAGCAACCTGTTCACCTAACATGCAAAGCTTTGGCTTAGAGAGGATGCCCATTGAGCTGTGCTGGATATTGGAGCAGTGTCAACTTCTCAGGTAAAAATGACCAATGTGCTTGGAAGGGGTGGATGTGATGACAGAATAGCTGAGGGCAAAAATCTTAAAATGATAGAAAAAGACTTGATACCAATAAGCAGAATGTGATTGTGAGGATTTGTGTGAGTTAATGGACTTTATGGAGTTTTAACATTCCTCTAAGAATATCCATGACCTCCTATTTAGAAGCATGGCTAACAGCACATACTTTTGCTTTCACTACTGGTTGTTGTTGTTGTTCATTGACACCAAGTGGCAAGTAAAGTCTGACAGTATGGAAGAGGAACATACTGTCTCATGGGGGATTAGAGTGTTTCAGATACATTTTTCTATTTATTGTATTTCTTATTCATTCAAAAACCCTTACACATTCCTATTTTATTTCTTTGTATAAATATGTCTGTTAAATATGGGGGTTACCATTAGGCAATACTAGGCAGTTGACGTGTACATGTATGGTTAATACAACTATTCCTTCTTTGGGCTGCTCAGTCCCGCAGTGGGTAGTACTGCTGAAGAAGGTTCTGGGTTCGATACCCGGCGTCGGGTCTTTCTGCATGGAGTTAGCATGTTCTCCCTGAGCATGCGTGGGTTCTCTCCAGGTACTCCGCCTTCTTCCCACAGTCCAAAAACATGCCTGTTAGGTTAATTGACTTCTCCTTAGGTGTGAGTGAGTGTGTGAATGGTTGTTTGTCCTGTTTGTCTCTGTGTTGCCCTGCGATGGACTGGCGACCTGTCCAGGGTGTACCCCGCCTCTCGCCCGTAGACAGCTGGAGATAGGCACCAGCACCCCTCAAGACCCCAGCTGTGATAAAGCGTGTCCATTCCTGGGGGCCCCATAAAACTTTGTGTACATGTATGGTTAATGCAACTATTGGTTATTCATGCACATGAATTATTGCTGCACCTGTCCAGAAAGGTCCAAACAGACAACAGCAAACCATTTGAAAACAAACGGTGCAAAGAGCAGTGTTGCCAACTTAGTGCTTTTGTCGCCATATTTTGGCGACTTTTCGGACCCCTCTAGTACTTTTATTTTAAAAAAGCACCTAGGGCCAAAACTAGCTACTTTTTTCTGCTCCTGACTTTGGTGACAACATATAAAAGCAGCGAACTCTGCTCTCCAGAGCAATTAGATTGGTAACCCTGCCTCCTGCTCTCCTCTATCTTATCTGCTCTCATGATTCATGCAGCTATTATTTCATACAAATGAGAAATGGAGAACAGATAAGCAGGTCATGGATTGTCTACAGTGAAAGAAGGACTGTTATTTATTTTTTCCGCACCTTTTTGGAAACACAGCAAGGAGCAATCAGCTAAGTGAGCTTAGTGATGGGAAAAATCTTTCATTCCTTTTGAGACAGCATGAAAAGTCAGCTGAGTACAAAACATAGAGAGGAAAATAACAAGAAGGGAGGGACAAAACCTAGAACAAATAATCTATCTAGTATATTAAAATTTCTGTAACTGTATAATGGGTCTGTTTTATGTGTTGCCTTCTCAATTCAGAGGGCCCCCTCCCTGTCTTTGCCTAGGGCCCCAAATCCGCCCCCGCTTCTGAAACAAGAGAAAATAAGATAAAATAGCTGCAGTCTTAATAATTGTAATCCATTTATAAGATATATTAACTTTAGGGTTTACTCAATCAATAACTTGCAGCTCTGCTTGAAATTCCAAGATTTTGTGTTTAAACATGTGAGTATTGATTTATCTTTCTGATAAAAAAAACATTCAGAACATGTTTGGCCTTACTGCTCTTAATGGTTCATTATTATTTGTACTGTTAGTGGAATGCAGGCAACACCAGCAGTCGCCATAAAACAGTGTTTTGCTTATAAGAACATGTACAAAAATTGTCATTTAAGTATCTGCAACCACATGTTTGATGCCGAGGCAACATTTAATAGATAAATAACATTTAATATATTTACTGTTATTGTTCCTGTCTATTTACTCCATTTCCTGCTCTTCCAGTGCAGGACTTACTTTATCAGAGTTGTTGACTAGATTGAATCCATCAATTAGCTGGGGCCAAGCAGAGTTAACCACACTGGCAATCCTCCAGGACTTTTAATTACACATGTACCTGCTATTGGACAGTTGCAAACTGAGCTGATAAAACACCACCTGCATGTCTGCTGGATCACAGGCACTACTTAACACCCGAGCCTGATCAGCTTTGTTTTACATTTAGCTTTTAGTGTCACAGATAACACTTCCTTTTAGCGGAGAAATGGTTCATGTCATCTGTATGTGTGCATGTGGGCATTTGTGGTTAGCATTACCTCTTAAGACACTTCTGATGACACTTACCCTTTGGCAAGCATCATCTGGCTCTGGACTAATTAGTGCCAGATGTTATTAGGAGAATTCATGCAGACAAGGATGGTTAAACAAAGTGTGTGAGCAAGATGGAGGCCTGCAGCCACAGCAGAAAACAGCTTCTGTTCCCAAAAATATATTCATATTCTTCCCTCCTAAACGCTGCTGTTATTGTGTTGGGTTTTTGCTGGGCTGTTTCCCCTTTGCATGGCAGGATCTTCATCAAAAAGCTGATATTTTTACAACAGGACATGAGAAAAAGTAATGAGACATAAGTCTGCTCAGAGATAGGCTGTCCTAGTTCATTCCAGATAAATTGGGGAACAGAGAAGGAATGTGCCAAGCTGTATTCATCCTGAAGAGTCTGGATAATTTGTGTTTATGCCTCTGCTCTGCCTGTGGCGCTGGCTGTAAGAGGGCTTAGCTCTGAAGCTTTAGAAAAGGATGTGCAAGATGCTTGTGTCGTCTGTCAACAGCTTTCTATCTAACAGTTACAAGAATTACTATTTCAAAAACCACTGGTTCTCATTTTAGTTTTCTTGAGCTGGAGGTCAAATACTCCAGAAGTTGATTTTGTCTGTTTTCATTAGATGCAATAAAACTAAAAGCTCCCAGCATTGGGAGTCTTTAAAGCATGTCAACCAGCAGCAGGTTTGCTGATGTACTTTTCAACTGCAATGAAGATAGCAGGTTATGTTTAAAAATCAATGTTTTGAGGGCTGCTCAGTGGTGCAGTGGGTAGCACTGCCTTGCAGCAAGAAGGTCCGATTCCCGGCCCGGGGTCTTTCTGCATGGAGTCTGCTGTTCTGCTCGTGCATGCGTGGGTTCTCTCCGAGTACTCCGGCTTCCTCCCACAGTCCAACTAATGACTGCTAGGTTAATTGACTTCTCTGAATTCTTCTTAGGTGTTTGTTTGTGCATGAATGGTTGTTGGTACTGTTTGTCTCCGTGTTGCCCTGCGATAGACATTGCCCTGGCGACCTGTCCAGGGTTTACCCCGCCTCTCGCCCGTAGACAGCTGGAAAAAGGTGCCAGGTGATAAAGCATGACAGAAAATTGATGGATGGATTGTTTTCTTTTTTCTTCTATTTCAGTTTGAATTTGAATCATCTTTTGGTTCCCTTTTTTGTGCTTTTGGACTAAAACTATACAACCTCTTGAGCTTGTATCTCATAAATAAAGAGAACTAGTTTTATATGTTGTTTTTTTTAAACAAGTCTTTTTAAATAAAAATGTCATATCATAAAAAAAATTTAAAGATGATGCACAATAATTTTCAGACGGTTGTTCAGGGATTTGTTCTGGGTGTTCTTGGCAGTTTTTCAGGGGCTTTGTTTTATATTGTTTATATCTGTATTGGAATTAAATGGCATCAACTTAAAGCAAGAAATATTTTGTCATTTTTGGCCATATTGTCCATCCTCAAAATTAATGTAAGATGGTCTCTGCCCTTTATTTGGCTCAACACATTCCCTCCCGCTTTGTATAACCTCAAAAAGGTTAAAGAACGCTTATGTTAATTAATATTTCCTTTTGTTTTAGGTCCTACAGTAGAAACTGTGGGAAAACAAATACCAATTGACTTTTATGATCCGTTGTAAGGAGTTGTTTTTTTTTGTACCGATACCTCCTGTGTTGTTGCAGGCATAGACATAACAGAAGCTTGTGTTCAGGCGTAAACAGATGAATACTTACCCTCCGCACAAACTGTAACCTTGCTTAACTCTGTCCTTCAACAGAGCACTCAAACTACTTTGGAACGGATGATAAGCTGGGTCCTGTTGCCGTGAGCATTCGCAGGGAGAAATTTGAGGACACCAAAGACGTGAAAGACCAGTACCAGTACCGCATCATCGTCAGGACCAGTGAGGTATGCTTCCTGTGCTGTTTGTGTTACTGAGGACTTCTGAATGACAGTTCTGGAATGCCTCCAAATAATGCCCTTGCCTATGTTTCCATCTCCTCTCTGCCTTGAATATTACCTTTAGTTTTTCTTCTCTCAGCCATTAACTCAATCCCTGTCTCTACCCAGCCCCTGGGAACATTCCACCTGTTCAGTCTGTGCACATAAAAGCCAAACTAAACACTATCTGCTGTGTCTGGAGCATTTGGCAAGCCTTCAATGACAACTTTGTTTGGCTTCCATGGAGGATATTTAGTGCCATGAATGAGCACGAGTACCCCTGGAAGATCTTCATCTTATCACATTAAACCAAAAACAACAGGACATTTACTGGGATTTTTATGATAAACCAAACAGACTGTGAGGGAGAATAAGTGTTTGTTTTTGTTTCCTCTGTTGAGGAAATAGTTTGTGATGTCACTATCCATAGTGTTTACAAATTGTTATATCGATCACCAGCAGCTTTCCATGTCTGAAGCAAAGGCTAAAATGTTTCTATATTCTTGTTAGCAGAGAAAGAAGTTCAGGCTCAGTCAGAGAGATTATAGAAAGCCTCTCTTTGCTTCCTTTTTTAGGTTTTTTATGCATGTTGGTCTGAACTTTGATTAGGCCATTCTAACACATACATATACAGCTGTGGCTGTACATTCATAAAAGTGAACGCTATTCCCATTCTCAAGTCTCTTGGAGCCTCTAAAAGTGTTTTTCCATGATTCGACCATTCAAATAAAAGGACGATATCAGGACGAAAAATCAGGACGATAAAGGGGAAAAACGTTGCAGAAAAGCTTCACAGAATAGTTGAATTTATACTAAGATTAAATGACACTGAGGAAAGTCTCCCATTAAGTTACCATTTCTGAAACACAAAGAACAGCTCCATGAAGTCCTTTAAGTCAGATTACTGTTTTTAACCCCTCTCCCTGTTCATTGTATTTATGTCTAAAGTCTAGTCTTCGCTGTGGTTGGTGTGATGTTGTCTTTAGCTGGATTACATGGATGCCTGGCTTCATCGCTTAGCCCCATTACAACAATAGAGCCTCTCTGTTCAAGCACACAGAGCTAAGCTAACAGAACCAGGCCTGCTGTTCCCACACAGGGGAAAAAAAGACATTGATTTCTGAATTTACTTTGTCCCACTCAAGCCGCAGAGCCTCTCAAATATCCTTCCGCTCATAAGTATGTCGTTTAATTCTGTGCGGCAGTGCTGACACAGCAAGGTGAAGAGATTTGCTCTCTGTGCCCTCCTTCTCTCGGGCTCCCATCACTGTTTCCTTAATCAACTCCCCCTCTGATATTCCAGCTCAGCAGGCCACTCTCTCTGCCGTCACTCAGCGGCTGAAGAGCTGAAACAAAAACTACATAACTTCAGCTGCTTGTCAATCGGGTTTCATATCTCTGCGGCAGATCCAGTCTCTGAGGTTCAGCTGTCTGTCTCTGGCCCCCGCCAACTCGTGTTATGCATTGTTAATGAATCCAGAAGAGATCAGCCCCCTCCTTCTGGCTCTACCTACTCAGTACAGTGTTTGTCTCCCTCTTATTAAGGAAGTTAATTACCCCTCAGCAGGAGAAGGTACACTGTGGCTATACAGCTCTTTGCTTAACAATAGGAGATGGATATTACTCCTCGCTTTGATGGAACTATTTTTTACTATTATTCACATATCTTGCATTTCAGACTCTTAAATATTTTCAGGTTTTATGTTATAATCAAAAACCTCAATGTATCTTGTGAGGATTTTATGTGCTGGACCAACTTAAAGGAGTGCATCATTCCTTTGAAAAGCAGTTTTTTAAAATAAGTCTGAGGTGAGCTGTACATTTATTCTGCCCCATTTTGAGTACACTTAAATACACCTTTTGAGTGCACCTTCAGTAAGGATAGTGTATGTCATTTTAACTCAGTAAAAGTCCAGTTGTTATGTGAAGGTGTCTGTGGTTTGTAAGAGAAGTTGTTTTTTTACTAATGGCATCATTTGAATGTTTCTACATAAGATTATGAAACCGTAAAAAGGAGCTTCTAAAGTGACCTGAATGAGCTAATAGATTTGATCATATTAAATGTGATCTCAAAGCGACATCTAATCAGTTGCTAAATGCTGTGATCTTAATAAAGGCTGGGAAGTATTGTTGACTGTGGCAAATCTGAGGCAAGACTGCCCTCCACAGGTTTTCCCTTAGAGATTAGCCATGAAGTCCTAATAGTCCTGAAAAGTTGGAAAAGTATGACCTCTTACAGTTTGAAAAAACTTGAGCAATCCTAGATATTTATATTGCTAAAGACTAAAAAGCTTTAAAAAAAAAAAAAAAACACCCACCCCCCACATAAATTCTGAATAAAATACCTTTAAGAGAAATATAAATTCTCTTCATTCTGCTCATCATTACTTTCTTTCCCTCCAATTGCAGCTTGTGACCCTGCGAGGCTCAATCTTGGAAGACGCTGTGGCATCTACAGGAAAGCACGGCACTGTTCGAGGTCTTCCCCTCAAAGAGGTCCTGGAACAGGTCGTACCTGAGCTCAATGTGTCCTGTCTGAGGCTGGCGCTCAGCACAGCCAAAGTTACAGAACAGCTCCTTAAACTGGATGAACAAGGGGTGAGTTTAATGCTACTCTGTCTGAATTTCATGCAGATGAAATGTTCCATTGCTGCTATTTTTCTTCACATATCAGGTAGCTAAAATGAATGCCAACCAGATACAGCATTGGTCAATGCGGTGACATACAGTGTGGTCAGATAGTGAGAGTAAATGCCTCTGAACACTGTCTGTCTGATTTAATGTTGGAGCAAAGTACAAAATGTGGACGTTGAAAGCTGTGGAGAAGCAGGTTTGTCATGTGTTGGTACGACTGTACAGCCATTAAAATGTTAATGTTTGGTCATGTTATCTCACTGTCATTTCCTAGCGAGTTAAGTGCAAGTCTGCGGTATTTTGCCAGCACTTGGTTTGGTGTTTGTGTAGGTGGCTTATGCAACAGAGAAACTGTGTGTGTGAGCAATGGATGTCCATAAATAAATACACATTACAGCTGGGTTAAAGCTCTAAAGGTTCAAACTGATGTACACCATTTCATCTGCCTGTCTTTGTCCTGTGTGTCCATGCATGTTGCAGCTGAGTCAGAAGCACAAGGTGGGTGTTCTTCTGTGTCGTGCGGGCCAAAGCACAGAGGAGGAGATGTACAACAATGAAGAGGCGTCGCCTGCCTTCTCTGCCTTCCTGGATCTGTTGGGGGAGCAGGTGCTCCTCAAAGGGTTCTCAAAATACGCTGCACAGCTCGACACCAAGAGTGAGAGTTATCTCTTTACTGTAATAGATATAGTCCTACATTACCACCAGACAGCAAAGAAAGACCGTTTTACAGTCGAATAGGGTTGGAAGTTTTTTCATATTTCAGTTTTATTTTAAAAAGTGAATCCCATAGAAAATGTATCTACACAGTGTAAGTTTAAGGGTTTTTTCTGTTAATTTAGTCAAAAAATCTGTTTCTCTAAGAATTAGAAAATGTAATTATTAATTTTTAGCACAGATTTTCAACCACTGAGCTGTAATGGAAGCCTTCTGTATGGTTGGGTCTGGAGTCTCCCATCATCCTCTTGGCCATACCTCATAGATTGGCCATCAAGCAGAGAGACAGCAGGAATATTAAAGATTATTCTTTTTTTGTGGAAAAGTGCCAATGATATCAGCATTTCTTATAAGGTTTGTCACCAGAGGGAAGAATAAGGTTATCTAAAGTTTGCTGGTCCCTGACTGTGCTTACTTTGAACTTTGGACCAACATCAGCAGGTGATTTGGTTTTCAAACCATCACTAGCTAGGGAAACTTCAGACTAGACCCCAAACAACATGGTTCTGTGCCTCTGCACTTCTTGATAACCAAATTAAATAGGATCCAAATTAAAATGACTTTGGCCTCTTAAACAACAGTTCAGTTCTTTTTCTCCTAATCCACCGTGAGGTGCTTTAGACATTGTGTCTATTTGTAGGAGCGGCTGTACTCAGTGGCTCTGGGTTTTTGTAGATATTCACTAAATTCTGAAATCGGCTTTTCTTCAGTTCTCTGAAAGCTGCATCTGTTCCTTTAAATCTGTTTTTACGTGACAGTTTTTCCTCCCATGCAAATTGACATTAATATTCTAAGTTATAGCAGGCTTTAAAAAGCCAGTGTGCTTTACAGTAAAGTTCTTACATGGTAGTCACTGTGTGGTGGAGAACTCTCGAGTCAGCAGTCTTGATCATGATTGTGTAAAACATTCTATATTGGGTAACTGAATTTTGGGTTTTCTTTAACTTTAAGCCATAAATCACTCTGTGAATCTTTATGAGTTTCACTTTTTTCAGTTCAACTATCAAAATAGATAAACTTTCTGACGATCATTAGACTTGTTGAAATGCTGCTGTAGACCAGTAACCAAAATGACAGGAGAGGATTTTATTCCTCAGTGGACTCTTGGAAACATGTCTGCTTAACCCAAAAGCTCACAGCTGTGATCTACATTTGATGTTAAATATAAACATCTTTCTTTTTCCTCTCTCCTCAGCCGACTCAACAGGCACCCACTCCCTTTACACCACCTACCAGGGCTATGAGGTGATGTTCCACGTGTCCACCATGCTGCCGTACATGCCCAACAACCCTCAGCAGGTAAAAGCTCATTAACAGCCAAAGCTGCCTGAGGCTGTGTGCTTTGCAACTGGTTGAACACGGCGGAGTATATGAAAAAGGAAAAAAAAAGCATGTCTGTGGTTGTGAGTTCAAACATCTCTTTTTACTCCGAGTTATAAAACCAAAAATCTATGTTTTAACTTGTGACTACTTCTTCTTTCACTTTGGGTTGTTTTTCTTTCTTTCATGTAGCTTTTTGTGTTTTTATAGTCTCTGCTCTCTTTGCCTTTGTGGCTTTTCTGTCCGCTCTGTTTTTCTGTCTTTAACTGGCACACTGCTGGGTGGGGTTCACTAGTATGTAGTTGTAAGTATAGGTTTTTTTTTTTCTTTTCACTTAAGCTTTTCTATCCTAGCATATTCTTTCTAATGTTCTTACAGTAAAAGCCACCTCTATATCAGAGTTTGTATTTGGCAATAGGTTTTAATTTAATCAGCTCAGTTTTCTGCCTTAGATGCTGTATGTCTTGGCTGCTCAAAGTCTCTAATTATCTCTTTAGTTGCACCCTAAAGCTTTGCTGCTGAATCAGACTATGTGTAACTTTTTAATAAAAGATTTAGTAATTCACTTCGCCATGGGCATGTATATGTTTGTTTTTATTAATTAATTACTGACTAACATATTAATAACAGTTCTTAGGCTTTGTGTATATTATTACAAGGAGTTAAAGGTTAAAATTTAGCAAAACCACTGGAATCAAATGAGCCTGAAAGAAATATGCAACTTATTTTGCATAGGAAACTGGAGTTTACTGTTAGAAGTGTCTCGATTAAATAGCCCTTAAGAAAGTAAATATGAATATTACTATAACACACAGAATTGCATAATACAGATTAATAGTGACAGTGAATTTATAGGGGGTTCCTCAGGGTTTTGTGATGAGGCCAATATTTCATTTGTATGTTGATATTTTTGTGGTTGTAAAACTTCTGCTTTAACAAAGCAATTTTTTTTTGCGAAAATGTTTTTTGTTAACTACTGTGAACACTGTAGATTTTTACCCATGTGGGTCTTTGTAAGGGAATAAATTAGCACTGCTAAAGCTTTCAGCCTCTTTTTAAAAAAAAAAACAATTTAAAACTAATTTAGTTCTGTATAAAATGTTGACACAAATCTATTAGTATTTTTTTACTTTATTAGTTTCTAGTCTTTTTTTCCAGTTTTAAAATGTTTTAATGTTACATTCTTCTTTTTTCATTTTTATGGATGTCCCAGTCCAATATTGATATCAGGAAAAAAAAACTAATAATGGATTATAATGACCTGGACCTGATCTCTATCTGCATATTAATAAAACCTAACATTTATGTAACCCATTGGTGAATAATAAATGGGTCAGTTTGTCTTATATCTAATGTTGTTGAATGTTGTTCTCTTGAGTAATATTACTAGTCCAAAGATGTTCTATCTTTCCACACCACAAGATAAGTATTTATAATGTGTGCGTTATGCAGAAACCGTCTTGGGTAGGGCTCAAACAATTCATTGGAATAATGGTGATTAATCGATTATTAAAATAATAGTCAACTAATTTATTAATCAATTAATTGTTAACTAGTGTATAGATACTATTAAACAAGCCTTAAGCTCACTTAGAGCAGTAATTTTACCAAATTGTAAAAACAAATATGTAAGCATTTTGCATTTAAGATAAAAATAAAAAAAAATCGACTGTCAATATGCTCTATCCAGAACTCCTCAAGTGAAAAAGTTTTATTTTCCCTTGGTTTCATTTTGTAAAAAATCTTCTTTAAGGAATCTTTTGGCTATCTGATTATTAATCGATTATTCAAAAAATAATTGACAGATTTATCGATTTGCAAAATAATCATTAGTTGCTGCCCCAGTATTGGGTCAATATCAGTATTAGTGAGTTCTTAAAGCCACAGTCTGTACAGTTAAACCAAAAGCTGCTATACCGTTAGATCGGGGCATCCCTATAACATAGTTTATTTATTTTTTACATTTATTTGTATATTAAAAATGTGAATAAAAAAAAATAGCAGAAAAATAAATAAATCAGTAATTTAGCTTTTAACTTTTTGTCCTGTCAAATATTTTTGAAGTTTAAATCTCTTTTCAAGTTATTTTTCTTCTTTTTTTGTTGTTGTTTTTATTTCGCTTAAAATCCTTTTTTACAGCATTTTCTTTTTTTAAATCTTTCCTCTAATTTTGCTCCATACTCTTGATCTGTTCAGTAAAAACTGATTGTCGTATTATTGTGAAAAAACTTGTACTAAACATTTAATAGATGATAAAATTTGATGTCTTGGAGCAATGTTAAAATGTAGCTTTAAGTAGCTTTTTAAGTAAACACGATGTTACACAACACTACCATGTTTTAGTTGGAGAAGGAGATCTTAAAAATAATGTCAATAATATTCTTATATTATTAAACTTAATAAAGACATAAAAAATGGTACAAGCTACAAGACATTTAATAATTCTGGTTGTTGTCAGTTGTTTTCAGATAGTCATCCATCTATGCTACCCTGTAGATGTTCAGGATGGTTAGAACTTTTTATAGTGTGTCATGGTAATACCTTTAATCAGAATGTGAAGCTTGATAAACTGCACAATAACTCCATCTGCAGGGATGAAGGCTTCAACAGAATGTGGGTTTACATACATAAGTGAACCAGTAGGTGGCAGCATCTAACTACAAACATAATCACACTGGAATCGGTAACCCAGCAACATGGATTATGGTTTAAAAGCAGCAAAACAAAGAACAGCAACAAATTCTAGCACTGTAGAATTATTATACATTAAATAGAGCTGCAGTCCAACACATCCAAACCTTCAACTCAACAGACATACAGTGGTGTTGTTAAAAGCTGGAAAAAAAAATATTTATGTTTCTGTCATCAGAAACTGACTTAAAAAGTAAAGGCGTGAAAAATGACACTCCTTGAAATGTGCTTTTTGATTATATGAGCAGGATAATTCAACCCCCATCTGCAGTGCTTTGTAGATACTAGACAGTAAAGCTGCATATTTCCTAACTACAAATACACGCTCTTGATATGTGCTGACTTGACTGTAACCATTTTTGGGAATATTTGTCCATTCATCATGTGACAAAGTCTTTACCTAAAAGATGTTAGATGGCTTCCATGTTGCAAATTCTGACTTGCAGTGTGACTAAAATCTTATAATTGATAAGGTGTCTCTAAAATAATCCAAACACTTCTTCCTCAACCAAACGTTGGATGACTTAGTTAGTTTTGTTTTATTTTCTCTTTGCGGTATAAATGATCAGCTATGATAAGTTAGTCAGCAGCAGGTTTAATTTGTAATCACATATTCTACTTAAAAGAGACAGGCACCTCTTGGAGTCCTCAATGCTATAAGAATGATCAGAACTGTATGTTCCTGCCCTGCCTCATCATTAAGTCACCTTAATGTTTGGCCATAGGTATTGTTTTCTTCTGGACATCAACATGACCATTTTACACTATAACTACTGTTTGAACCTCTGGGTTAGATTCATCAGTCCAAAAAGTGCCTCCTCAAACTCTGTAGCCATATCTAAATTCCTCACGAAGCACTTATTTCGTCAGGTGATCCTTCGAGTATATTGTTTGCAATTTCTCTCCATTATCCTGACTAAATGTTGTTTACTAACTTACTAACATAGCCAGACAGGTTTCTTACTGCATTACAAAGTTCTTTAGGAAGGTCATAGGTCCACTGGAATGTACATTTATGGGGGAAATCCTAAGGTTTGATCAAACCATTTCCTCACAGAGCTCCTGAGAAAGCTCCTTTGTCTTTTTTTAGTGATAGTTACTCATCTTTCTAGACCTTCATAGGTGGGGTTTAGATATGTATCATCGCTTAAAATATTAAAGAACGATTTATAGATTGTTAAATAATTTTTCATCATTATGTCATCTATTTTCTTTATTAATGTTATGCAACTCAAAAAAGCAGAATCTCTGTCTTTTGGAAACACTAACTGAACAATCCTTAAAATCTACTACTAATTACAAATATAAATCCAAATCAATATGTGAGAGAGTGGATCAAAACAAAGCAAACTGGAGTTGCTTAATATTAGCGTAGAAAAGTGGACTGCAGATGTTGCATCTGGTATCAGCATCACTAAATGATGCTCCTGTTGACTGCATTACATAATTGGTACTTTCACACTTCTGTGTGGAACTGAAGAGAAGGCTGGCGGGCTCCACATCACAACCTCAGCCTGGACTGTGGGCCATGTTTCCTACATGAACACACAGACACAAATAAACCCACACAGGAGGCAGATAAACAAATTACATAAAGAGCTGTCGTTTTGGGTCCGATAGTGGGCGGCCCAATTTACATCGGTCACAGAGTCTGCTCAGTTTTTATATCTTGTGTTTTTGCTTTTCCCCAGCTCCTGAGGAAGAGACACATAGGTAATGACATCGTCACCATAATCTTCCAAGAGCCCGGGGCGCTGCCTTTCACCCCTCAGAACATCAGGTCCCATTTCCAGCATGTCTTTGTTATTGTTCGGGTCCACAACCCCTGCTCAGAGAGCACCTACTACAGGTAGGCATTAACAGCTTACTAATAGTCTTCCACTTTCTATTTTTCATTAAATTAAACTCCACAAATCCTGCTTTTTTTGTCTCAGTGTTGCTGTAACACGGATGGAGGATGTTCCCCCTTTTGGACCACCCATCCCCAGCGGAGTCAGCTTTCGTGACCCCGAGAACTTTCGTAACTTCCTCTTAGCCAAAATTATCAATGCTGAAAACGCTGCACACAAGTCGGATAAGTTCCACACAATGGCGACACGAACGCGGCAGGAGTACCTTCGGGACCTGGCAGAGAACTACGTCAGCAGCACGCCCCTGGACACAACTGGAAAACTGAACAATCTCATCTCCCTTGCATCAAAGAAACGCGAGCGCACGAAAGCAAGAGAAGGCGCAGAGCTGGAAGCAGCCGGGGCCGTCGCCTGGAGAGTCCTGGCCCAGGACTTCAGCGGAGGAGCTGCAGAGCTTCCCTGTGCTCTGGGTATATCGTCCGAATACGTGGTCCTCGTTGACTGCTCCACCAAAGAGCTGGTGTTTAACTGTTTCTGCATGGATGTGATTGGCTGGACTCCAGAGAGGCTGGCGCTAAAGATCTTCTATGGAAGAGGGGAGCACATAGCTGTGAGAGTACCAGAAGGATCTACGCAGGACGTCAGGGAGATGGTGCAGAGGTTAAAGGTGAGAGGATAGTAGCTGCCAAACACCACGATGTAGAGAGCAGTGACCTATGTGGTAATATTGGCTTAAAGATGTTCTCATAGGTTTAACTATTGTTGAATTGAGGTGAAGAAGAGGAATTTTGAGGTAGTTCTGATCTTCTCTGTTCCACCAATTTTTACTTTTGCAGTAGCAGCAAATGAAACTCTCAGCATAATATAATCTCAAACTTCTGTTTTTAAATCATTATTTGGTTTGATGTAGTTGCTGCAAAATCTGGTCAAGCTTGAACGTGTAATTTGAACAGTTTTTTTCTACCCCCTGTGAGTCCACTTCTGTTAACAAGAAAACTTGTCTCCCCCATTGTGATCAAGTCTTGGTGATTCCTGGTACTTTAACACATGAATTTTCAAACAGGATACTGGAAGCTATCCATGGAGTGTATAAAGGAGGCTGACATCAAGCTGCTGCTTTAAAGCAATCTGTACAGTTAAACCAAATGCTATTTATATAAGCTTTTCTATATCTAATAAGAAAATTGGCTGAAACCAAAACTTAGTGATTTCTCAAAGATATTAAGAAATGCATTTTTTGAGAATATCACTGATAAGATTGGATTTTACCTGTAGGAACATTTTGGGTAAAAAACAAAACAAAAAAAATCTGATGAGCTATTTAAGAATTTGTGTGTTGTCAGACCCTTGCTAACTAATTACAATTTGAGGTTAGGAGGACTTTTTAGAAGCCTTGTTTTTGTAGTTCCACTCGGAAAACTAGTTGAACTGTTTAAATTTTACCAGTCATTACCATCTCAGATATTTCATACTTGACCGGCACTCTAGCGGTTTTCATTTGTAAGGTAGTGTGGTTGTTCCGGTATTTTTAGAATTTGTTCATATTCACCTGGAAACCTGTGAAATTTAATTCAACCGGCATTCATTGTTATTCCCCTTCAGAACATCTAGACATGCACCAGTCTGCGTTTTCTCATCAAGAACTATATTTAGCAACATTTCAAGTGTTTTTTCCTTCCTGCTGTTATTGTGTATTGATATAAAGGAAGCCACCAACTTTTAACTGTCTTAAGAGTGAATAAATTGTACACCAGGGTCTTTCTAAAAGAAAAATGATTACATATCTAAGACTTTTAAGCCATTAGTGAGTCTGGATAACTTATGAATGATTTTTTTATTAAGTATGGTGCATCACTGAATAGAAAAAGGTTGCATTTTCACATGTCTGATTGACATCAAACTGTTATTTATCCACCTCCAGACATTGGCGGATATCTTGGTGATATCTAATGATTAGGGGTTTAGTGGTCACTTAGCCCCTATTTTCCAACTTTTGTGCGAGTTTTAGTTCATATTGTTTTATTGTTTGATGTTTTTCAATAAAAAGATTGTAATATTAAAATTTATTGCTATCATCTGGATAGTTCCTAGACTTTAGGGATTTATACTATTGAAAACGAGTTAATATACATAGAGAGTCCTGATCTCCCCAGACTGGAGTTTTTGTTATTGATTCATTTATCCTTGTTGAAGTTTTCTTGAAAAATTTCTAAGTATAATCCTGGTTCCCTCTCTCTGAACAGTCGTTGACAGTAGGATGTGAGACTGTGGATATGACGCTGAGAAGAAACGGGCTGGGACAGCTGGGCTTTCATGTTCGCCTGGACGGTACCGTGGCTGAGGTACCATCAGATCAGCAGAACCATCATACCGGATTACAGCTTACAGACACGCTTGGCGGTGCATAACTTGAGACTTTTTTTTGTGCAGGTGGAGGAGTACGGGTTCGCCTGGCAGGCGGGACTGAGGCAGGGCAGTCGACTGGTGGAGATCTGCAAGGTTGCCGCCGTGACGCTCACTCACGAGCAGATGATTGACCTGCTGAGGACATCGGTCACTGTCAAAGTGGTCATCATTCCTCCATATGAAGAAGGCAAACCTCGCAGGTGTGTACAGTTAGGAATTGAATCCATGCAAGGCTGACTTTGTGAGTCATTTGCTTATAAGGTGCTTGGGGGGGAAGGCAGGAGAGAAAGCTGTGTGAAAGTGTGCTGTGGTGGAAGGACAGCAGCGAGCTACGATGAGCACAGGATGCTCTCCAGTCCAACAAACAAAAGACTTGGTGAGGTAGTGGCCAGACTCCAGTGTTCTGAGAGGATTTTGTGTGGGAGTGTGTGAAAAGAGGAAGCGAGCTAACGGAGAGAGACAGCAATGTGTAGCTGGAGTGGAAACAAGTGAAACCAGGCATGGAGACAAAAAGACAAGCATTTGTTTAACAGGAATTAGCTAAATCTGTCTCTCTTTGTCTCCTCTTCTGGAATTATCTGCTAATCTCATCTGGTTCTGTTCCTTCTCCTTAGAAATCCTTCGCTGCTACACCCTTTTTTATCTTTTCATCTGTGCTCAAGGTCTTGAGTGAGCCTGAATAAAGAGGCATTATTAGATGCTGCTGTGGTTCAACCATGCTGTGTGTGTTTCTGAGCATCAGAACTCCTTGAAAACAGTGTTCATGGCAGACTGTGTGATCACACTGGTTAGATTCCTTTTATGTTGCAGGCAGTTTAATTACTCCAAGTTAAACCCTTAGCACACAGCAACGCATAGAAACGCTGAGCTGTGGCCTTGGAGCAGCCGGTAATTAGAGTCTTTGCATTTCGCTCTTCCTCCCTGACTCGTCGGCTGCTGTGTGCCAGGCGAGCAGATTGCATGAAATTACAGCTTGGCATCTGCTATGAAGAGGGAGGGGGGACCACCAAAATGAGGGAAAAGCAAATAAAAGAGTGGAAGCGATTAATTAAAAATGTATGGCTTGTGTAAATGAAAAGAAAGGAAAATAAAAAGGTAGGGGCTGAGTGATAGCAGGAGAAAAAGGCTGGGAGGAGCACCCCGACGAGAGGGACGTGTCTCAGCACCACAGAGAGTAAGAGGAGTGGGTGGAGGCGAGAGGAGAAGAGAGAGGCGAAAGTTGGAAGGGTCCGTCTTTGCTGATCTGTCTCCGCGTGCGAAGCCTCCCGATGGATAGATGCAGCATTAAAAAGGCGTGGGTCTGATAGCGGATGTGTCTGCGCTCCAGTCACCTCTGCTAATGTGATGCGTGAACTGAATGCTGACAGATGTAGGCTCTGCTCTCTCTGAGGTTGGTATTCTCCTCGTGTGTGTATGCATGGAGTCTGTGCAGCTAATCTGCATCCAAAACGGTCACAGCAGCAGGTTTTCCTTTATTGATTTAAATGGTCTTGGAACAAATTGCCTTCATGGACATCGATTTGTGGGGGTTTTTTGTACCTGGAAACCTGCAGTTCTGTTGATGCATGTGTTTTTTACATCTTTAAACGGTTACATGATTATTCACTAGGTTGTTAAGATTTAAATTGAACAGGACTGAATAATGGTATTGCCTCTTTTCGGTTTTAACACTCTACAGTCATGGTATCAGGGCTATCACATGAGTTTTCTCTGATTAATAGATACATTTGATAAATCTAGACAATAATTTATCAACTAAATAATGAATGTGTATAATTGATGTGTTTATTTGGTTTAAATTGATTTATCAACATTATCTAAACAAATTAATGTTTTGAAAAGAGGTAAATTCCTTAGTTCTGCTTCATGAATCTACTCATTAAAACATGCAGGTAGTTACTGTACAAATGTATGGGGCACCAATCCTGCCATAATTAAAAATACTTAAATAAATGATTAAATAAATCGATACTATATTTACAAATCGCTAGTGAAAAGATGTTTAAAATTGAAATTAGTCAGCCATTAAATGCAACAAACTGATAGAAAATAGACACATATTTAGAAATTGATCAATTATATAGATATAATTATACATATAGCCTACATAACATTTTATTTTAACTGTTCTGTTTTATTTCTGCACTTTTATTCTTTTTTAGTTTTTTTTTAGTCATTTATTTCTTTATTTATTTTTAAATATGGCAGGATTGGTCCTCCATACTAAGTGGGACGGAACCATTGTGCCCAAAATCTAAATTGCAGTTATTTACAGCCAATATTGCAATTGTGATTTTTATTTAGATTAACCTTTGCATTAGCTACAAGCATGTAGATGTTTCATTTTTTTCCATGATCTTAAAATCTTTCTTGTCCAGAACCAAACTTTACTGTAACCTTCTGATAGCGATTACTCTGTCTTCCCTTCTGTGTGGCTGCAAACACACCATTACTGCCACCTAAGGGCCTGGAGTGAAAAATGTTTTTCTTATTCATGTTAAATGTAATGTAACCAAAATTGAGGGTCTGCAAGTGAAAAATTCTGTTTTGTTAAATTGCGATCATATTGCCCAGCCCTAGTTCAAACCCACGTTAAATATTTGTTTAAAGCTAAAAAGGCAGACACACAGTTTATCTAACTTCACAAAGAGCATTTTGCAGCTTTAAAAGAAAACTAGGGGTGGCTCTACCTTCACTGCCTGCTCTTCAGCTGTTCGTCTTGAATGGTGCCCTATTGATTTATGGGGAAACCCCTTCTTTTATCATCACCCAACCTAAAGTTAAATAGATATTTTATTCCCTTTTAGGTTTTGGCTTCAGTGAGCTTAATTTTTGTTTTTTTAATGGTGAGTCAGACTCTTTATCCACTATATTTGTTTTTCGACTTAAGCTCAGAAGGAGCTGATCTATGACAGATGAATGCTGCTTGCGTACACAGAAACACCTAAAGCTGCATGTTTCAGCCAGGAGCCTCTCCTTACATACTGCAATGGAAAACCTAATACTGTGGACTGGAAATATTGATGTATTAAATTAAATAGTTTACATCAGTCGCCAGTAACATAGCTGGCTTGACAGCCCAAGATACCATCAAAGCAAACCTCAATTCATTTATCCTAAATGAGTTTAGAGTATGTCGATTTGAAGCACCACTGGAAATATTTCAGTATTAAAAGTCAATGAACATCACTTTGAAGCCATAACTTTTCAGCCTTTTATTCATTTTATTCATTCAGTGTCTCTAATCATCAACCATCTCACTCATTTCCATTCATCTCATCTTAAATGCCAGTTTATCACCATGGTTAATCACTGCCGTCCTCCTCTAATAGCTTTCTCTATCTTTGTGAAATGATGAGGCGTGGACTTACATTTGAAATCTGTTATGTTTAATAAGATGTTAAATAAGAGAACACCCCCAGCCAGGAGCTTTGTCACGGATTTCATTATTGATGAGAATAAATGGCAGATGATTTTCTACCATTCATTTTTTGAAATTCCTCCTAATGGAACTTAAAGGTTTTTTAGAAATTATTTGAAAATTGTTATATCTTTATGAAGTGTCTTCTGTATTCACATAGCTTTTCACTAAAGAACTCCTAGTTGGAGTAAGAGGAAATCCTTTTTAAAATACATTCTCACAAAGGGGATTGACCTTAGTCTTCCTGTGGTAAAGGTGGATATTTTTTGCTGTCATTAATCAGCTTTTTCTCAGGATGTTGGTCTCATTGGAGCTCATTAGTGAGCTTGTGCCTGATGAAGTGTAATGTAGAGCATTGGGAGTGGATGTAGTGAGTAGCTTTCACACACTGAACTTGCTACCAAATCTGTATTTCTGGTTCAGAGAGGAAGTAGCAGTGTTCATGCCCTGCTTTCTGCTGACTCACTTCTGAACCGATGAGATGAACATGGTGTTTGGGCATGGTTTTTCTTTGGATGATCTATATTCAAATATTTCTCTTTCCATCTTTAGAGGGTGCACAGAGGAGTACGAGATGAAGACCATGGAGCAGAAACCTGACCCCGAGCCCCTGGCAGCCGGGTACAGAGCTCCTCGCCAAACCTGCCGATGGGAGAGCTCACCTATTCCTCGTGGGCTCCTCAGCACTCCCAACCCACAGCGCTGGTTGGGCCCCCCGCCTGCTCAACTGCCCCGCTCACACAAGCCCATGATGCCAGTTCCTTGCAGAGAGCCACAGCACCTCAGCTCCAAGAGGTAAACTGCAGGTTAATGTGTTGCAAATGTTATTTTAACCTCAGACTTTTACATTTAAATTCCCTCTGATCAGGACTTTAATTATGGCAGAATCGGTCCTCCATACAGCAGGAGTCGGGTACATTGGAAAAAAAGAGCAATGATATATATGCCTAGTTATAGATGCTGAATTGTTATTGATTTCATCATAGACTGTAAAATATCAAAAACCGTTTATAATTCCATATACAGTCTTTACCATCTCTATCGTTATTAAAGTCTTAAGCATCCATCCACACTTATCCATGCAAGGCCAGTCCATCCTTGACAACGGCACCACACATTGTTGACTGATCTTTTTCATACTGCTGCAGATGTCCTACTAATAAATCTCTGTTTAATAATACATTTGCTTAGGTAGCCTAAATGTTGCTAAAAACAGCAGCCAGTGTCTCTGTACTCCTTGGTTCTGCTGACTGTCACAGTCTACTGGAGAAGATGTTTGGTCTCAGTAGGATTTTTTTAGGCAACACAGTTCATACTTTATTCATCATGCTTTTAGTGTTCATTTTGTGTTCCTCTGCCACCACAGATATTAAAACACTTACAGAGGATAGCTTAGGCAGATAGATACCTTGAAGAAAATCCTGACCTCAATACTTCAAAATCGCATCATTAGCTTCATAATCCAGTCCCAAATACGGTTCATATTGGGTGTTTGTGTCTGGTGAATTCTGCTCCTAAAAGTTAAAACGATCTTTAGTCTGCTAGTGTTTTATTATTCATTTTTTGACGTTTTGATTGTTTTATCCTTAATTACTTGACATTTAAGCAGTGAGCCTTATAACGATGCTTGTCATTAACAATGTTACAACAGAACAACATGAAATAGTAAAAATACCACCTTGTACTATCGTGAAATTGTGTTTAAACCTATTCTTCTTAACAAACTGATAACTGTCACTTTGCAGTCAGTTTCCCTTTAAAGGGATGCTTTACCCTCATTTTGTAAAATCCCAAATCCTTTTTTGCACAAATGGATTTCAAGGGCAAAGCACAAGGATTACGTTGATGTTTTTTTGTAGTGATTGACGTCTTAAACATTAGTCCAATATAACTATCTGAAACTTGTATTCTGTTTAACCTCTGAAAAGAAAACACTGTCATTTAGCTCAATAGGTATGGTCTTTTAGTTGTTTCACACCACACACTGTTAAAGTGTATAACAAGCTGGTTTCTCATCTTGACTGGATAAATATTTATATTCATGACATGTTGAAACACTACTCCTGTCTTCTAGGCCTGTGAGCTACCCAGAGAACCACTACATCCTGTCTCCTGCAGGGGGCAACAGAGTCCCGCCCTACAGAAACCCCTCAGCCAGCTTCTCCTCTCCCTCCCCTGGTCTGGGTTCCCTCTCTGTCTTGAGCTCACCTGGAATCACTCCAGGCTCCTTTGTGTGCTACAAGCCTTCCCCCGACAGGTGCGTACAAGTATGTGTGGGGTTTTTGTGTTTTTCCCCTTAATCACTCCTGACTGAACATGCCAAATGTTTCTCATTATATCTGTTTGGCGTGCTAGAGGTACATTATATCAGTTTAAAGAAGGGAGTGAGTAATGTCTGGAGTAAGAAGTGAAATGAACACAGTGTCTCCCAGAGGAAGGATCTGTTGTGTGGGAGGCTCTTCCTCACAGTGTGGAGGTTGATAACATCTCACCCAACTAGAAAAGCGTGTTTATTCAACTGCCAACAGGAGGCTTAAAAACACACACAAAAAATTTCTTCCAGTAATTAAATCCAGCTCATTTATTTTGAAGGTTGATAAAGAATAGTTTCCTTTTTGTCTTTAGGTCTGTGTGTTCCCTTCTTCCTAAATATTACTGATTATCTTCACTCATTCAAAAAAGTTTCCTATATGTTTAGGTTTGGATCAGTGCAGCGCCCCCTGCTGCCCTATGAACCCCACTACGGCCTAGACATCACTTCTAGTGGAGAGTCTTCTTCAGGCTTCACTAGCCAGGAGAGTACGATGGAGCGATGCAAAACAGGTACAACAGCTTCAAAAAGCAAATATTAGGTTAATAAAACATCATCTAAAACTGGATGCATTTTCTTAGTGTGTTTCTTTAGCTGTACATACTGAATGAAACTTAAATCTCTTACTTTAGTTCTTTCTTTAAAAATAAAGAAGAAAAAGTGTATCACTAGCTTTGTTTTGAAAATTGAAAAAAAATTAATACTTATTTAAAATTCTCCTTTTTTTAACTGAAATAATTCCCATTCTGTCAAAAGCAGTCTAGATGCAATAGCCCCTCTTCTCCGCTGTTGAACTCTTTGCCTCTTTAATATTAGTAACAGGCCAACAAGACACCAACAAGAGCCCATTTATCCATTATTGGATGACTTACTTACTTACTTACTTGATTTATAACAGTTAATCAGGTTCCCTGTTTGTTTTGTCTGAATGCTGCATCTTCATTCTCTCAGATCAGTTTTCTGCCACCAAACTTTAAGATGCCGAAGACACATATTGTAGACACCTTAACAAAGGGTTTTAAAACACTCTTAAATTTCAAACCATTGATGTCTGCTTCCTCTTTTTACTATAAACCTGTGTTACTCTTTCCTTTAAAATGCTCTCAGCTCTTATTTGTTCAAATATGTCAATTTCTTGCCTGTGTTTGTCTTTTAGGTTTGGTAAACTTTAAAGTTTATACGGTTTTTCATACATAGTGCTTCTGTTCAGTGTGTATTTCAGTCACTTGGCGCCGCTGCATTGAGCAGTATGTTTGTTTTAGGTGTGTGTTCCCTAAAGAGGACATAGTATTTCATCAGAACTCACAGGTATCCTGCAGCATATAGAACGAGTCTAGATGCGACTGAATAAATAAAGTGTAGCATGTGAACAATGAAAAAGCCATTTTGATCTAACGCCTCTATGTCTGTTATGTAGTGTTATAAGCTGAGGCTTCTCAGAAGAGTTTTATTACAACTGGGATATGAGAGGGGTTTGAGTGATGTTGAGTGACGGGGAGGTCAGTGTTTAAATGTGCGATAAGTATTTAATCCTCTTAGCAACCATTGGCGTTCAGTGTAATTCATGTAATCCTCTGTTTGCGTGTATTCCGTTCAGAGCCCCTCTGGCATGTCCCAGCATCATCGTCCCGAGGACCAGGTGGCGGAGGGGGGCAGAGGAGAATAACCAGGCATGATGTCCCGGCCAAAGACTCTCCAAACAGACACTCAAAGGTCAGAGTCATCATCAGTTGGTTTTATCTGATCATCTGTTGACTTCCTGGCCTCCTTAGCTCAGTGAGTTTTTTGCCTTTATGTTGTCCTCATGTGCTCCACAGGGTGAGGCTCAGTACTCCAGCCACTCCAGCAGCAATACGCTGTCCAGTAACGCATCCAGCAGTCACAGCGATGAACGATGGTTTGATGGCGGACCTGGATCAGAGCGGGTAGGCGGAGGAACTCTCTGCGACCCGACCGACCCTGACCTCGACCTTCTCAACAAAGGGGGCTCCAGTGACAGCGGCATCGAAGCCTCCACTCTCTACAACAACAGCCACCGTGGTAACAAGATGAGAGAGCAGTCGCATAAATCCCTGCATCCCTCCGCCACCTACAGCGGCTTTCCAGAGCTGCAAGTAGGACGGAGCAGCAACGGGGGGGAGTCAAAGAGACCAGCCGCTGCCCAGCAGAACAAAGGGTACCCAGCAAAGACCTTCCCGCCTCCTGGCTCCAGTGCTGAGAAAACGGACGCCTTCAAACCCAGGTAAGAGTCAGGCTCTCATGTTGTATATTGAAACCTTCATCCCAGCGCCTGCCTTTCCATGACCTCCGCTGTATATCCGTATTACAGCAGCCTAAGCCGGTAAAACTTCCAGATGATCATCAGATCCGTAGCATTAGAGATGTTAATGCTGGCCGACATAAACCACTACAGTCATTTAACATTCTGGATTAAAGCGATCCGTGTTTAAAAGCAGCTCTAATGCTGCAGTCTGTTCAGAGGACAAGCACTGCATATTTTAAAAACAGCTTTTTCTTATTTCTTTTTAGAGAAAATGCCTCTTTTCTTTTTTTTAGCTAAAACTTTAAAGTTGAAAATGTGAAAAACAAAGCCAATTTTTTTTCAATTCTTTATGTATTAAGATACAGTTAAAGAAATAAACCCAAAAATGTCTTTAGTAGGTGTTTATTATTGGAGCTGACACTCTGAACTGAGTCTAGATTCCTGCATCAGCAATTCCTGCTGCTAGTGTGGCTTGAAATAAAAGAAAACCAGTTTCCATGTGTTTATGATAGAGAACAGAGAGCCAAACTTTAACTCTGAGCTTTCCAAAATTCTCGTTCCCTTTGCAAAGAGGTTGAGAGCAAAAAAAGATAATTTCTAATTATATTTTTACTGCACCTCTATTTATAGCGGAAAAAAGAGACGGTGTCTCCTCTCTATAGATGATATATATTATAATACGTATATGTTACACTATATGTTAACATAAGTTCAGCATCCATGTCTTATTCTCATAGCTTCAACATGTCAGCTGGACACAGAAAATAAAGAAACAAATTCATCTTTTAAGCACCCTCTCTCTGTCTTCCCTGACCTCTTTGTTTTAACCTCCTCATTAACACTGAAAATAAACGCTGTAGAGTCTAGATAAACTAAAGCATCGAGGGAATGGTTTGACTTATTATGTTTTACAGATGGTTTTAAATAGTTAAAGAAGTCATAAAGTTTGATTTATCTAATTGAAATCACTTGTTGTTTTTTAAACTCCAACCTGAAACCTTTTGTTTACTGATTAACTCATATTTTGCAGCAAAACATTAAATATGTGTGCAGATTAAACATATTTAATTTGAGCTTTTCTTACAGAGGAGCAGGTTGTTCAGTATGAAACTAAAGTTTTCCAGTGCTTTAGTTTTAGCACCTTTGTTATTAGAAGCAGAAGCATGATATGACCTGAAGAGCACCGTCCGCAAAAGTCAAGCATGGTGGTGGGAGTATCATACTTTGTGGCTGTTTTTTTCTTTTGTCCTCAAACATCATTACATTTAGCGGCCAGTAAAGACAGTCAAAAGGACTGTGGTCAAAAAACTAAACTCAAAGGAAAAAAAGAGACAAAAGAAAGAAAACTCCAGAAACGGACAAAGGAAATGTTTGTTTAAAAGAAGGGAAAGTAACTGGTTAAATAAATACAGCAAGAAACAGACATAAGACCTGATAAATACACCAGCCATAAGAATCCCCCCCACCCCTAAAAACGCCTACAAGAAAAAACTAATATGCACTTTGAGTTAATCAACCAAATATTTCATCCAATCAGCCTTTGGGATTTCTCAGTATTCCTACATATTTTGTCTCTAATTCAGACATGTTTTCTTAACAAGTTTGACACAGGGGGTTTTAGATTTAGTTCCTAACATGGGGAATATAAATGAAAAGATGTAGAAATAAGGTCCAAGTTAAAAAACAAACAGTGGAATTTTCTTTTGGTCTGAAGATATTTTCTGTCTTTCTTCAAAGGGCTTTCACACCACAGGGCTACAAGATGCCAACAGCAGAGAAAGCTCGCCCCGTTAGAGCCTCTACGACGACGCCCACCTCGGCTCAGATGGGCTCCACTCCTTTATCCAGCTCAGCGCCCAAGACCTTCTACGGGAAGAGCAAAGAAGAGACCAGAAGAAGAGCAGAAGAGACCAACGTGTCATCTTCAAAATCCACCAAAGCTTCCAGCTCCGAGAACAAGAAGTAAGTCGCTGCTGCGGTCTCTGATCAGAAACTGTATTTATATGAAATGAAGACTTTACTCTGCTAGCTTTTAGCTCTATTCATGATCAGAGGTTTCAAGGTGCCACAGATCGTGAAAACCAAGCTTTCCTTTATTTACTAGGCAGGAGGATACAAATTCAAAGAATGTGTTTGGGCAGCCTCGGCTCCGAGCATCGCTGAGAGACCTCCGATCTCCACGTCGGACGTACAAGAGCACCATCGAAGACGACCTGAAGAAACTGATCATCATGGACAACCCTGGCGAGATACCACCATCTGACCCGGTAAGAAGCACATCCGCACCACTACTCGTGTTCTTTCCTTCACACATCGCTGACCTCGGTCACTCTTCCTCCTCCAGCCTCCCAGACACACTCTGCAGCGCACGTTTTCAGACGAGTCGCTATGCAGCGGGCGCAGAGATGCTTCCTTCGCCTCCTCTGAGAACCAGAGCACCCCCAGCGACGTGCTGTTCACCTGCACGCTGCCCACACGCAAACACTCCAGCTCCTCCAACAACTCCAACCACTCGCAAAATAAAAAGAGTGAGTCTCACAGCTGATGCAACCTCCTGCCAGGAGGTTTGATTTCTTCCTGTAGCTCATCCCTCTCCTTTGTCCTCAGTGCCGCTGTCTGCATCAGAGTTATCCCTGACTGAGTTGAAAGACAGAGTTCCTCCTCTGAGGAGGCTGGACCCCGGCCTAATGCCGCTCCCTGACACAGCCAGTGGACTGGAGTGGTCCAGCCTGGTCAACGCTGCTAAAGCCTTTGAAGGTAGACCTGGGAACTTTTTAACATAACGCTTTTTCTCAGTCTTAATACCATTACATAGAATCAGGGGTAAAACAGTTCCCTAACAATTGGTAATTTGGGTCCAGATGTGTGAAAAAACAGATGATTTTCAACTGAAACTAGAGCGGTTGTCTGTTTATTTCGCTTGCAGCAGCGGATGGTGTTGGTTCAGTTAGAACAATTCCAAAAAAATACATTTAAGTTTATAGTTATACATGAAAAAATGCAACGTTGGATGAATAATTATAGAAGACACTGCGAAGCATCTGTGAGGCAATCCTCCTGGGAGAAAGAAGAGGTGCAGGCGTTCATCGTCAGCTCTGCTTCCTCTGGCTGCCCTCCCTGGAGAGACACAAAACAGAACCAACAGCAAGAGAAGCCTTACTCCTCCCCTGCTGTCAGCTCCACCTGCTATCAGCTTCACTGTGTCTTTACTCTGTTAAAAATGATCATCTGTCTCTGCTGTTGTTTTTCATCACTGTATTCTTTCATTTTCTTGCATAATTTTTAATATTGTTCTATTTTTAGTCTGTCACCATGACCTTCTTGACTTTTATCTTAAAAAGATGATATAAAAATAACGTCTGCCCTTCATTTGCAGCTCAAAAAGCGGTTTCCCTCCTTTCACTGACCGAGCCACAGCTCGTAGTTCCAGAAATGAGACCGGCTTCCAGTCCAGTTCAGTTTAACACTCCGCAGACGCCGCGGACCACGCCGACATTCAGTGGGTAGGTCGACCAAAACCTAAGCAGCACATGTTCTTCCCAGCGCTGCCACCTCGTGGTGGTTTATATATTGGGTTTTTAAATGATTGCCCAGAAATTCTATGTTCTTTGTCTTCATTAGTAAAGAGTGGAGGTTCAGTTTAACAGGAATGTGCATTAGACCCTACTTGAAGCATGATACATTAAAGTTTGCCTTGTTTTTCTAGAGATGAGGTGCCCAATGACGTGTCGGGTCGGCTGTATCAACTAGAAGTGATGCTGAAGCAGCTGAACAACGATCTAGAGAAGGTAAGACATGAAGGCATTAAAAATACAGTTTGTGATTGTAGTGTTAAACTCTCAAATGATTTTAAGGATAACACTGTGCTCTGTTAAAGTATCGATGCCCCCAGAGGTTACGCAGGTTTTATTGGATTACGACAAACTTCAGTGTTTTTGTTTTGTTTTTTGGGGGGTTTTTTTGTGTTTGATTTGCAATACACCAACATAAAATCATGTATATTTTGCAAGTGAAATGACAATTATTCGTTGTGTCATTTTGGTTTGTTTGTTTGGGTTTTTCTTCAACAAAAAAGGAGATGAAAATTATCACTTCCATTTGTTTGTTACCCTAATCACCCTGAATAAAGTCATATTGGAAGGCTTGTTAAAGGCTGCAGAGACGCTTTTCATCTAATAGGACTTATTTTGAGATATTTTGTAAAAAAAAATATGAGTAAAAAATCTGACATGCTTGCCATACATGGTAAAATGACATGGGGCTGTATTAGCAATTAAAAATGTGTTGGCTATGGTGCGGTGAATACTACTGCATTCTTCATTTATAAATTATAATTCCTCCATCCTTCTGGAGTCTTGATAAATTAAAGCAGGGGTCACTAGCGGACCCCGGTCAGCTAGTGAGACTCAGCTGTGAGACTCACTCTTTTTATTTTGCGAGTGGTTGGAGTTGTTGGAGGAGCTGGAGTGTTTGCGTGTGGGCAGCGTGCAGGTGAACTGCATGTCGCAGGGGGTGCTCTGGTTCTCAGAGGAGGTGAAGTGATGTCTCATGTAGACTCAAAACCGATACCAACACATAAACTACAACCTAAAATCTTGTTGAGCACTTTCTGGTTTGCCGGCGCAGCTTTTATAGTCCTTACGGTGGTGGTCATGTGTCTAAGGAAACCTGCATGCGAGTTTGGCTATACCCCGTGATAGCACCATTCGTACTGGCCTCCCGACTGGGAGAGAAACGGCCGGAGTAAAAAAGAGAAATACTGGCATAACAGATAGAGGAAGGGACGGAGACAGCAGATCGTGGAAACAGAAAAGGAGGGGAGAAACTGACACAAGTAGAAAGGGGACAAATGGCTGTGTCTAAAAAATAAGTGGGCAGTAGAAACCGAGCATTTCATCAAGAATGGACAGTCATTTCTGTTTATTTCTACCTATTGGCAGCACAAAACCAGCATGTCAGGTTTGTTCAGAAGATGTGCCACTTATAAAAAGTGGAAATGTGAAACGTCACTATGAGACAAAACATACAAATTTTGAACTAATATACCCACTAAAATCACAAATTAAGTCAGTCAGTTAAGAGCATGCATCCTATCTTTACTCAATAAATAAGTGTGTGTGTGTGTGTATGTATGTATGTATATATATATATATCTATATATCTATATATCTATATATACACTCACCGGCCACTTTATTAGGTACACCTGTCCAACTGCTCGTTAACACTTCATTTCTAAGCAGCCAATCACATGGCGGCAACTCAGTGCATTTAGGCACGTGACATGGTCAAGACAATCTCCTGCAGTTCAAAGCGAGCATCAGTATGGGGAAGAAAGGTGATTTGAGTGACTTTGAACGTGGCATGATTGTTGGTGCCAGAAGGGCTGGTCTGAGTATTTCAGAAACTGCTGATCTACTGGGATTTTCACGCACAACCATCTCTAGGGTTTACAGAGAATGGTCCGAAAAAGAAAAAACATCCAGTGAGCGGCAGTTCTGTGGGCGGAAATGCCTTGTTGATGCCAGAGGTCAGAGGAGAATGGCCAGACTGGTTCGAGCTGATAGAAGGGCAACAGTGACTCAAATAACCACCCGTTACAACCAAGTCGGGCAGAAGAGCATCTCTGAACACACAGTACGTCGAACTTTGAGGCAGATGGGCTACAGCAGCAGAAGACCACACCGGGTGCCACTCCTTTCAGCTAAGAACAGGAAACTGAGGCTACAATTTGCACAAGCTCATCGAAATTGGACAATAGAAGATTGGAAAAACGTTGCCTGGTCTGATGAGTCTCGATTTCTGCTGCGACATTCGGATGGTAGGGTCAGAATTTGGCGTCTACAACATGAAAGCATGGATCCATCCTGCCTTGTATCAACGGTTCAGGCTGGTGGTGGTGGTGTCATGGTGTGGGGAATATTTTCTTGGATCTCTTTGGGCCCCTTGGTACCAATTGAGCATCGTTGCAGTGCCACAGTCTACCTGAGTATTGTTGCTGACCATGTCCATCCCTTTATGACCACAATGTACCCAACTTCTGATGGCTACTTTCAGCAGGATAATGCGCCATGTCATAAAGCTGGAATCATCTCAGACTGGTTTCTTGAACATGACAATGAGTTCACTGTACTCAAATGGCCTCCACAGTCACCAGATCTCAATTCAATAGAGCATCTTTGTCCCAATAGAGGCCTAATACTGTTTCTGCAACAAATGTGGTGGAACGGGAGATTCGCATCATGGATGTGCAGCCGACAAATCTGCGGCAACTGTGTGATGCCATCATGTCAATATGGACCAAACTCCCTGAGGAATGCTTCCAACACCTTTTTGAATCTATGCCACGAAGAATTGAGGCAGTTCTGAAGGCAAAAGGGGGTCCAACCAGTTACTAGCATGGGGTACCTAATAAAGTGGCCGGTGAGTGTATATATATTTATATATATAATATATATATTTTTATATATATATATATAATATATAAAAATTGCCGGGTTGGACCTCTCAAAGTTTTAATTGAATACCCCTGGATTAAAGCATAGTTTTTTCACAGCAGCAAGTTCAAGTTGGTGGTTGATCAGAAGTTTATGATGTATAATAAATTCTGCAAGGCTCTGTGTTTCTCGGCAGGAAGGTCATTTTTTTGTTTTGTGTTTTTATTTCTAGGAGAAGCAGGACAAAGTCGTCCTGCTGGCAGAGATGGCAAACCTGAGAGAAAACAACCAGCGGCTGCAGGAGGAGAGTCAAACAGCCAGCGAGCAGCTGCGCAAGTTCAACATGCTTTTCACCAACCTCCACCCTGGAGGCGACCATGAGCCTGTGATGCAGGACGCCAGCTCCCAGAGGGAGTGACGGACCCAGCTATGAGACATATTGAACTAGCCTGTGGGCTGCCTTAGACCACCTGGACCTGGATCATGCAGCTCTCCCTGCATGTCCTCTGAGCCTGTTTATTTTTCTAAACTAAAGTGAAAACATCTCATTGGACTCTTGATGCTACTATGCCAGAGGAGTAACCAGGAGAGGAGGTCCTGACTGTTTTAGAGAACACGGAGAGGCCTAATACTGTTTCTGCAGCAAATCAGCCAAAAAAAGACTGCATCTCCCAGAATGCACTACACATTGAGGAAGAGTTACAGAGATGATTTAGATGCCTGTGTGGTACGACTCTCATGCATCAGTATCATTAACTAAAGAGAGAGGTGTGTGTGTGTGTGGGTGTGTGTGTTAAAAACTCCTGAAAGGTTTGTACTCAATGCAGCAGGCATTTAATTCCTTTAGTGGGTTTGTTACTGTGAGACGTGTGTAAAAAGTGGAAAACACTTTACTGTAATATAAACCTTTCAGGCTCTAGTGTCCTTCATGGATGAACTGTGGCTCTCGGATGTGACTCAAGCTATCGTTGTTTCTTAACCGGCAAGATGTCATGAAAACTTAAACTCAGTGGAACAAAGACGTCATCTCCAAGGTTTGTCATCTCAGATCCAAACGTTCTGGATCTCCGTTTTAACCTCAGTTACCACAGCAGTTCTCTTAAAGAACAGCTGTGGCATTTTGACAATGAAGCTTTCATTTGCAGTCATATGTGAGAGACCTGATGTATAGAACAAAACGTTTAGTTTTTATAAAGATCCGCATAAGCTATTCCACATCGCTTCGTTTTAGGATTTCGTTTTTAAACCAGTAAATGTTTAAGACTCACAAACAAATTGCTTTCACATCTCAGGAGAAAAACAAATGAGCCTAATCCCTCAAAATGTCTGCCTGTCCCTTTAATTTAAATCAATATGGTGATCAGAGCCCTGGGCAGGAAGCATTCACTGCACAGGAAGTTCAACACTAGGTGTGAGCCTCAACCCAATTAATTAAAACTTGGTTTATTTTAGTGTTTTCATTCAAAAAGTGAAACTTGTTTTTCATATAGATCTAATACTCAGCTCTAATACTCAGTGATTGATTAAGGTTTAATTAGCTGTAATTTAAAGAGAAAATTTTAGTCTGAAATTGTTTTTGTGTTTTTCCTGGCTACACAATTATGGGGATGACTTAGATAGTCATTTGCAACCTTTCCAGAATGCTTCATGTATTTTATTGAAAATTAAGTGGAAGGAAAAACTGGAAGGTAAAGGTGCAATGAATAAATAAATCAGTTTCACCTTTTTTATTGAATCGCTGCAATAAACTCGACTTTATTCTAATATAGTGAAACAACTTTTTATGTGTGTATGTGTCCCAATATGCTATAATGATTCCAAATAAACACAAAAACACTATTTATACAACTAGCTTCCCTAATATTGTTGTTTACTACAGCTATTTTCCTACAGAAAAGTATCTTTTTATGATCCTGGTACTTTATGGACAACATATCCCTGCAGAGGATAAGTTTAAAATATTTCTACTAAACACTTCTCTGAATTCTTTACTGAATTTTCCAGCCTTCTCAGGTTCTTTGATGCTGTTAAGCACTAAGGTCTGCACCATTGGAGACGACCCAGTGCTGCTGTTTATACTGTTTTAGGCTTCCCTTTAATATTTCTGGTTTGAAGGACTTTTTAAATGACGATGTTGAAAGCAACCAGTCTGGAAAACAGCTTTCATTGCATGTAAAATAGAAATTCAAAGGAAAATATGTACTGTTTGTATTTGTTTGTTTTTTTATAAGCAGCTTACTAATTATTCTCCATGAGATGACTAAGTGCACACGCTGTGATGATACAGTTTGTTTTACATTAACTGCCTGCTTGTCGTTCAAACAAACTTGACTTGAAAATAGACCTGTTTTTGGTTTATTTGGGGGGTTTTCTGCTCGTCTGTGTGTAGAAAAACAGCTTTAGCGTATATCTCTGATACTCTGAGATATTCCTGAACTTTTAGGTTTAGATTCAACACTTTGACCAATCAGAAGGTTGCCCTTCAACCCTCGTGTTTGTAGTGAAGGACACCATCCTGTAGAAAGCTTCAGTCTTAATTTCCTGGTATTGTTTTTTTTTTAAGGGTTGTGGTTCTTCGTTTTCTATATATAATAAATATAATTATTGCTATGAATAGTTTTAAGGTATTTAAAGCATACACAACCTCTCCTGGTGAACAAGTCAGTGATGCATTATTATTATTGGTAATTCTTTTTTATGTTAAATATTTTTGTAATTTATTTTTTAAGCTGTTGGCCACTGTTTCAGAGTAGTGAGAAGAGACAGTGCCGTGTTTTTAAACGTGCTGTTTTACCTCTTGATTTCTGTTCATAGCTGATTTATATGATTCCTCTCTGTGCATTAGGGGTTACGTTCAGCAAAACTACACCTTCTGGATTTCTTTGGGTTGTAATAACTTGTACATTCTAAAGTGTAAATTATGTTTTCATTATTTTATAAAAAAATATTAAAAATAACTATATAAGCTCTTGTTTTGTCCTGAATTTTCTATCAATAAAAATGCTGAGTTATTATTTTTTTAAAGCACAATATCTGAAAATGCTTGATTCATTTTGGAATTAGAGCTTTCATCTGAGTTTGAATTTCTAGCTTCCTTTGCATTTTTAATATTTAAATATAATTTCCCTATTTTTTAATTAGATGCTCAGTCTGGATTAAACATAAACTTGTGTACGAAGAGATTAAGAAGGCACGATATACCAGCTTTCACAATGCTGTGATATTAGCAACTAATGTTGCCAATTAGAGCTAAAACAATCTGATTAATCCATGATTGAAATATTCAACTAATTTAGTAATTTTTTGTTAAACGGATTTATAAACTGTAAAATATGCCTTTATCTGACAGAGCAACCCACATAGGGCCGGATTTATCAAGATCCAATTTTGCGTGCAGTAATTTGCGCTCGCAAACTGGAATTTTGCGCGAGGGGCTGAACCATGGTTTGCGGGTGATTTAACAAGAGTGATTGCGTAACTGGTGGCAGGTGCAAAACTGTTGGAGACGCCCTATTTAAATGATGGTTTTGCGCGTTTTGTGGTTTGCGGCAAAGTAGTTTGTAGTCTGTACAAACTAGTGCATTAAGAAATTTAAATCTTACAGTGACCCCCCCCCCAAAAAAAAAAAAAAAAATATATATATATATATAGAAGTGGCTGATATCAAAAAATCCTACCAGTGGCTGGAAAAGGCTGGACTGAAGGACAGCACAGAGGCACTAATCATGGCAGCACAAGAACAGGCACTCAGTACAAGATCAATAGAGGCCAGGGTCTACCACACCAGGCAGGACCCCCGATGCAGACTGTGCAAAGATGCCTCTGAAACAATACAGCACATAACAGCAGGGTGTAAAATGCAGGCAGGAAGTGCATACATGGAACGCCACAACCAGGTAGCTGTCATAGTGTACAGGAACATCTGCCATGAGTATGGGCTGGAAGTCCCAAGGTCAAAATGGAAGACACCTCCTAAGGTAGTTGAGAATGACCGAGCTAAGATCCTATGGGACTTCAAGATCCAGACTGACAAACAGGTGATGGCTAACCAACCAGACATCGTGTTGATGGACAAACAGCAGAAGAAGGCAGTAGTGATAGATGTGGCAATCCCAAGCGACAGCAACATCAAGAAGAAAGAACACGAGAAGCTTGAGAAATACCAAGGACTGAAGGAGGAGCTAGAAAAGATGTGGAAAGTGAGAGCAACTGGTGCCAGTGGTAATTGGAGCACTGGGGGCTGTGACCCCCAAACTGGGAGAGTGGCTACAGCAGATTCCAGGTAAAACATCAGAGGTCTCTGTCCAGAAGAGCGCAGTCCTAGGAACAGCTAAGATACTGCGCAGAACCCTCAAACTCCTAGGCCTCTGGTAGAGGACCCGAGCTTGAGGATGACACATACCACCCCACGAGGGGTGAGAAAACAGTTTTTTTTTTTTATATATATATATATATATATATATATATATATATATATATATATATAATTGGCAACCTTTATTCCCTAAGGTGGTATGTGGCTAAATTTCTACTTCACTGCAGTAAAAAAAACAAAAACAGGTGTTTTGTATTGGCCTGTGACTGTGGATGAGATCCCCGCAGCATTGGCATGTTGCTCCACAGGCGCAGGGGGAGAACCCCGACCCCGTCGGACAGCACTTCTGAAAAAACGAGATTGGGAGATCCCAGCTCTCGCTGCAACCGTAGGCTGGAATGACCCAGATGCAAAAAAGTGTAACGTTGCAAGGAGTTTTGTGATATCTGGTATTGCGTGGGTCCTCCTTGTGGCTGGCTCCAAATCCATTCGGAGTTCCCCCAACAGCTCCAAAATGGCAATGCTGGATAAACAATATGTTTTGATGATCGTTTCCTCGTTCATCCCAAAAATATTCACACGGAGTGAAAAAATGCGTTCTCTGCTTCTCCTTGCTTCATGTCGATGTCTCCTTCTTGCGACAATAACCGCTGCCATGTGTGCGCAATTACGCATACAGACCATTTGCACCTTCTTTTGAAACACGTTAAATATAGAGTCAGATACCGTTAGCAAAATTGCTTTCAGGTTTAATAAATCACTTTGCGAGTGCTAAATTAATATATTTACATGTTCTCCTCCCACAAGACGCACTTTTGCGTGTAAACGCCCCATATTGCATATTCATTGCAGAAAAAGTACTAAATGGATAAGAGACGCTATTTAGCATGTTTTAAAGACCAAATCCTTTTAGCACGCTGTTGATAGATCAGTTTGTACATTTTTTTGCGTGCGCAGTGAAATAGTTCACGTTTTTATACAAGCAAACCTTTGATAGATCCAGCCCTTAGAGGAGTAATTATATCAACATTCTTAAAACGGGGTTTATACATGAATGAGTAACTCTTATTTATAATCTTAATGCCATCAACAAGTACCCATGACCTAAATATATATATATATATATATATATATATATATATATATATATATATATATATATATATATATATATATATATATATATATATATATATATATAGCTATACACATACATACACGGCAAAATCTTTCGTCATCTTCACCGTGGACAGGCTGCAGCAAT